ATGTAGTTCCCGTCATGATGATCCTCGTGGGTCCCTCCTAGAAGTGAGACAGAATGCCTCCCATCTCGTTCTCCATGACGCATCGCCGGATCACACCATCTGCTCCGATCATGGCAAGGTAAGGATCCTCCCAAAATTAATGCTTCATGTCGGAGAAGAACTTGCGCTTTGCGTGAGTAGCCATCCCCTTCGGTGACTGTTTGTCCACTAGATAATTGGCAAAGTCAGAATTCCAAGGAGCGACACTCTCCACAAAGCACAACGCCAACAGTCACTCATCCAGGAAAGATTCATTGATCTGTTCCACAAATTTGTCCACCGGAGGGGCTTCCAACCGCGAAAGATTATCTGCAACAAATTTTTGGCTCCTTTCTTGTCTTGGATCTCGATGTTAAATTCCTGAAGTAGCAGGATCCAACGGATGAGCCGAGGCTTGGCGTCTGCCTTAGTCATCAAGTTCCAAATAGCAGAGTGGTTAGTGTAGACCACGAGATGAGACAACAGCAAATACAGTCAGAACTTGTCAATAGCATACACCACGCCGAGCAGCTCCTTCTCGGTGGTGGTGTAGTTCTCCTGTGCATCATTTAGGGTCTTCAACGCGTAGTAGATAGGTTGGAAATGCTTGTCGCGTCTCTACCCCAAAACAGCTCCCACTACGTAATCACTCGCATCGCACATCAGCTCCAAAAGGGAGATACCAATAAGGAGTCACCATGATGGGTACATGGGTAAGGTTCCCCTTCAAAGTTTCAAATGCAGTTGTGCACTCTAGAGTGAAATGATGAAAAGGTGCATCTTTATCTAGCAGCTTAATCAAGGACAAGGCGATCTTCGAAAATTGATAAATATCCTGTAAAAGCCTGCATGATCCCCTTCATAGAAATGGGAGGAGGCAGCTTGGTGATTGATAGACCGTCATTTACACATGTTTTACCCCCATTCTTACACCGTTTGAGGTGTTGATTCTCGTGTTTTAGGCCGATTTCACGCTAGGTTGTGCTTGTTTGTGATGTTTCAGGTCCTAGTACGTGAATGAAGGCTTAGGAGCGAGTCTGGGGTCGATTGGACGAAGAACGGACGAATGGCGAGGTTTTTGGGAAGCTGCACGGGCAGACCAGGGAGGCTGCACGGCCGTGCACGTGAGCAATATGGCCGTGCGCCTTATGCCGAGGACACGCACGGGCAACCCCTGAAGCTCGCACGGCCGTGCACCCTGGCCGTGCGAGAGGGCTGAAGTTCGACTAAATGACACGCTGCGTTTTGAGTTTCACGGCCAGAATGGTGATATGCACGGCCGTGCACCCTGGCCGTGCAAGTCGGGATTTCCTGGTTTTAAGCCAAATTCCGAACCAAAGAAGAAGGGGAGCTGGGTTTTGGATCCCAAACACCCAAGGGACGAACCCTAGAGAGAGAGGGCGATTTGAGGGCATTCTTGGAGTAGAGAAGGAGGATTTCTTCGCCTTGGAAGCTCGAGGAACAAGCCCGGACTTGAAGACTGATCATCTGAAGATTCTTACTGCAGTCTCTCTCTTCTCTATGGAGTAACTTCCCTTCACTTAGGTTTTGAGGAACCCTAGCTATGTTTGTTTGATTGGATGATTGTATGAGTACTCTGACTTGATAATCTTGAGTTCATATTCAATCTATGCATGTTTTCATGATTCAATTCTGCTTTAGTCGAGATTATTGATTCTGCTTTGATCCTATGAGAGGGAATACCTGATTAGGTCAATAGAGCACCATAGATTGATAGTAGTGGATCGATTGCTTTAGTCGAGGGTTGATTCACTGCTTTGTATCGATTGAGAACCCCTTTCGATAGAGGGAGTCTAGTTCAGAACGCCTTGATCAGTTGTTCTAGAGAAGGATACGTCCCTCTAGGCAATTGACTCAAGAGGGCCTTGTTCCTTTAGTCGAGACTCAAGGTCTAGTCAAGGATTCTCCGCATTGTGAATGAAAGTGAAACAGGTTAGAGATCATCAATCATTAATCTGGCTAGTGGCTAGGGGGAATCATACCTAAGTGAGTTCCCAACCTGTAATTAGATTAACTTTAACTGTAGTTTGCTAGGGTACTTTTAGTTCTTTCATCTTAATCTGGTTTGCTAAATAATAAACTGAAGTTGAGTAATAGTAACTCTAGAGACCCGTGGATTCGATATTTATCACTTGAGCCACTATACTGCAGTCCCTTTCATTGGTTACACTTGGCCTTTGTTAGGAGTTGTGTTTTGGCGAGTCAAGTTTTTGGCGCCGTTGCCGGGGACTTTCTAGAGTATTAGGAAAGGCAGAAGTTTGTTACTTTAGCGTTTTTCGTTTCCTTTCTTTTCCACCCTTGCTTTTCACTTGGGTGTTTTTGTTTTTGTTGGTGCAGATCTGAATCATGGATCCTAATGGCTTCTCCAATCATTGGGGGTATCCACCACCATCTGGGTGGTATTACCCCGAGACTCCCTGGAGCAATCAAGGTGGAGAAGACTATGGATTCGGGTTCCAGTACCAACCCCCTTACTACGGAGAACAACCGGACCCCTAGGCATATCAAGAACAACCTCATTACCAAGAAGAATTTCTCCCACAACCAGAAGAGCCATTGGAGCTGGAGTTACCCATGGCGGCCTTCACGGGCCATTCTGCAGAGCCATGCTACACTCCACAGCCAGATCCACACTATGATTTGAGGCTTCTCATGGAGAGATCATGCTCCAGTATGGATCATTGTGTCCAGGCCTATCGTGAAACAGAGGGGATCCTCCTGAGCCTTAAGAAGAGCGTCGATGATCTTGAGCGATCTTGGGCGCAACCTGCTCCAGATCACCCTTCTGCTACCATACAAGAAGATGAGGAGGAAGAAGAAGGCTACAAGGACATTGTGGAGCACACTGAAGTTGTCACGGAGAGCTCCCGTGATGATCATGATCAGGAGTGTCCTGTCGTAGCCGACCACACCTTCCCACACCCCAAACTGAGCTTTGAAGAGGCGGGCATGAGTGAGGAGATGCAAGAAGATCTCATGAAAGAAATTGCTTGGCAACTTGCTCTCCAATCCGTGCTAGAAGAAGAAGAGCAAGAAAGGGTGCAGAAAGAAGTTGTGGAGGATGACGAAAGTGAAGCTGGAGGAGTTCTTGATCATTTCCCAGGGGTGATACCACATGAAGAAGTAAGGGAGGTTGAAGAAGCAATTGGCGTCCAGGCTGAGGACGGAGTTAAGGTGGAAGAGGCCTGCACCGGCCATGAGTTACATGTGATATCTCCACCAAACTTCGAGGAACTGCTTAGCAAGGACCCATTTGCAGTGTCTCTTTGCCAGACCAAGGCCACATCGACATCGGTCCCTCTTGGTGGACGCGATGGTGGCCAATCGATGCTGTCTTATCTGGTTTGGGGCAATGAGACGAGAGAAGAGAAGAAGAGGTCTCGAGGGTGGAGACTTCATCTGCATCAAGTACATGAGCCTTCATCACCTGCCACATCACATGCTCATGACTTGGGACTCCACCTCATCGACGAGAACCTCAACTTCAAGGAGGTTCTAGCATGGACCGAAACTTAGGAGCCATCGCCCGGCTCACGACGTGAAAGAAGCGCTTGTTGGGAGGCAACCCAACCAGTCGGTTTGCATTTCTTTCTCTTTTTCTCCTCGGTTGAGTCAGTTTTGTTATTTGATTTTAGAGTCAATAACTCAACCTTCGTGAGATTTTGTGTGGTGTTTGTGTTCTGATTACTCTCTCTTTCTGGAATGCACCGCCTGACCCGTTCATCATCATTCACCCTTGATCTGGTAACTTCGTTCTACCCTCCTTATCTTTCCTCCATTGAGGACAATGTCGTGCTTAAGTGTGGGGGGATGTTCGATTATGTATGCGGGTGAATGTTTGGCTGTTTGTGTGCTTGGAGCCTAGTCCACTGTCCAAATTTTTAAATTTGAGGGCTCCAAGTACGTGTTCCATGCAATTGCCTGCTCAGTATGCTTTGAATTGACAGTCTTTATAGTAATATGCAACCTAGGGAGGTAGTGTAGCACTATGGAGGATGTTGATGCATTTAAGAAGTCTCATGTCTTCTTCATATAAAGTTGGTTGATTGAGTGAATTAGTGATCTTAGGACCCTTGAATTGTGTGGTGTTGTGGATTCTCTACCTGTCATGGACTCTTGTATCATGTTTTGAAAATAACAGGTGCTCGAAAATGTGCTTCAAAATAAACGTCTCCCGTGCGAATAGGGCGAAAGTGTGTAAGGGGAGACGGGAATTCGTTCCCAATTTCCACCTACTACCTCCAGCCCCCTTACATGTCTTTCCCCCGCACGAGGCTCGAGACATCCGCTCCTGGCATGGCCGGTAAGAGCAGGTTGGGACCCTTGAAAAAGAAAAAAGAAAAGAAAAATAACAGAAAACAAGCATAATAGAAAGAAAAGGGGTTCCAACCATCCTTAAGCAGAAAATAGAGCACCTTGAAAAATGTGAGTCCATGATTTGTTGTTTTTGAGAATCTCCTCATCCACAATTCATTTGTCCTCTATTCACTATTTGCCATGATGCCGACTCGCAGAAGAAGTTATGAGATGACTTGTGCGTCGGTTGACCTCGTAAGCTGCTAAATGATCTAGGAAATCCTCTACCTACGATCTGGGTTGTTTGTTGCTATAGAGGTCTGGAGAGTTGCATTGGTTTGAGTTAGGTTTGCTTGGGGACAAGCAAACGGTTAAGTGTGGGGGAGTTTGATAGACCGTCATTTACACATGTTTTTACCCCCATTCTTACACCGTTTGAGGTGTTGATTCTCGTGTTTTAGGCCGATTTCACGCTAGGTTGTGCTTGTTTGTGATGTTTCAGGTCCTAGTACGTGAATGAAGGCTTAGGAGCGAGTCTGGGGTCGATTGGACGAAGAACGGACGAATGGCGAGGTTTTTGGGAAGCTGCACGGGCAGACCAGGGAGGCTGCACGGCCGTGCACGTGAGCAATATGGCCTTGCGCCTTATGCCGAGGACACGCACGGGCAACCCCTGAAGCTCGCACGGCCGTGCACCCTGGCCGTGCGAGAGGGCTGAAGTTCGACTAAATGACACGCTGCGTTTTGAGTTGCACGGCCAGAATGGTGATATGCACGGCCGTGCACCCTGGCCGTGCGAGTCGGGATTTCCTGGTTTTAAGCCAAATTCCGAACCAAAGAAGAAGAGGAGCTGGGTTTTGGATCCCAAACACCCAAGGGACGAACCCTAGAGAGAGAGGGCGATTTGAGGGCATTCTTGGAGTAGAGAAGGAGGATTTCTTCGCCTTGGAAGCTCGAGGAACAAGCCCGGACTTGAAGACTGATCATCTGAAGATTCTTACTGCAGTCTCTCTCTTCTCTATGGAGTAACTTCCCTTCACTTAGGTTTTGAGGAACCCTAGCTATGTTTGTTTGATTGGATGATTGTATGAGTACTCTGACTTGATAATCTTGAGTTCATATTCAATCTATGCATGTTTTCATGATTCAATTCTGCTTTAGTCGAGATTATTGATTCTGCTTTGATCCTATGAGAGGGAATACCTGATTAGGTCAATAGAGCACCATAGATTGATAGTAGTGGATCGATTGCTTTAGTCGAGGGTTGATTCACTGCTTTGTATCGATTGAGAACCCCTTTCGATAGAGGGAGTCTAGTTCAGAACGCCTTGATCAGTTGTTCTAGAGAAGGATACGTCCCTCTAGGCAATTGACTCAAGAGGGCCTTGTTCCTTTAGTCGAGACTCAAGGTCTAGTCAAGGATTCTCCGCATTGTGAATGAAAGTGAAACAGGTTAGAGATCATCAATCATTAATCTGGCTAGTGGCTAGGGGGAATCATACCTAAGTGAGTTCCCAACCTGTAATTAGATTAACTTTAACTGTAGTTTGCTAGGGTACTTTTAGTTCTTTCATCTTAATCTGGTTTGCTAAATAATAAACTGAAGTTGAGTAATAGTAACTCTAGAGACCCGTGGATTCGATATTTATCACTTGAGCCACTATACTGCAGTCCCTTTCATTGGTTACACTTGGCCTTTGTTAGGAGTTGTGTTTTGGCGAGTCAGTGATCATCTCAATCTTTGCGTGATTTACCTCAATCCATTGCTTGGAGATCTTGTGCTTGAGCTTACCCCTCATGAACCATGAAATGACACTTCTCCCATATGAGTGCAAAGTTCGTCTCCTCGCACCTCTTCATGACAAGTTCCAGGTTATGGAGACAATGAGTGAAGGATTCTTCGTAAACCTAGAATTCGTCCATTAAGACTTCCATGATCTCTCCACCCAGTCGGTCGAGATCGCCACCATACACCGCTGGAAGGTCGCCGGTGCATTACATAACCCGAATGGAATCCTCCGGTCAAAAGTACCAAATGGGCAAGTGAATGTGGTCTTCGCCTGATCCTCTGGCGCGATGGGAATCTGGAAGTTTCCAAACATGCCATCTAGGAAGCAGGAGAACTCATGGCGTCGTTCAGGCATCGATAATCGATGCAGACTCTCCAGCCAGTCATGGTCTGCATCAGGATCAGCTCGTTCTTCTTATTAGGAACCACAGTCATCCCGCCTTTCTTCGGGACCACCTAGGTGGGACAGACCCACTTGCTATCATATATAGCAAACATGTTCCATGCATCCATCAACTTCACAATCTCTGCCTGGACCACTGCCTCCAAGTTAGGAGTCAATCTCCTTTGCGGCTGCCTGACTGGCTTAACCTCATCAGAATTCTGTGGGAGCAGAAGGATGGGCTAATGCCTCTAATGTCAGTTATTTTGCATGCCATGGCCCGGGCATACTTCTTCAACAAAGCCACTAGTTTGCTCTTCTGCTCGGACGTCAGGTCAGAGCTGATAATGACCGAGAGCTTATTCCCTTCCCGGAGAAATTCATACTCCAAGTGAGAGGGGAGGGGCTTAAGCTTCAGCTCTGGTGGCTCCTCCAAGTATGTGGCGATCCGGAGAGAGATAGAGATTGGCTTGAACGGCAGCTCTCGCCCCTCTCTCGCGGTGCCCTTTAACTCCACGAGCTACTCCTTCAACTGCAGCTCCTACGATGCCTATTTCCCTAGAAAAAGGAAATGATCGAGAAAATCATTACTATCCGCACTCGTGATGGCGAGTGCGATCTCAAAATTGGAAACCACATCGTAGTAATCTAAATCACCATGGAGTTGGGGGTGTTCCATGTTATCATACACAGAGAAGGTGATTTGTTTACCTCCAACCCTCAAAATCAGTTTACCATCATTAACATCAATAAGCGCCTTGGTGGTGGTGAGAAAAAGGTCTTCCCATAACTAAAGACACCTCCACATCCTCATTAATATCAAGAATAAAAATTCAACAGGATAGGAGAATATCCCTACTGTGACTATCAAGTCCTCTGCAATACCCTTAGGATGCATAATAGATCTATCCGTTAACTGGATGCTCATCCTAGTGTTAATGGGTTCACCTAGGCCTAGATTCTTAAACAATTTGTATAGCATGACATTAACGTTAGCGCCTAAATCCACCAAGGACTTTCTTGCAAGCAACCTATCATGCAAGAGATAGTAAAACTCTATGGGTATTTTCGCTTCTCCAGTAGCATGTTCTGCAGGATGGTAGAACACTCCTCGTTGAGCATCAATGTGGATAGCTCCCAAGCTTCCTCTTATTGGTGAGAAGATCCTTCATGAACTTCGCATACTTGGGCATCTTCGACAATGTCTCCACAAAGGGCATACTGATATTCACCTGCTTCAGCATTGCCATGAACTTGGCAAACTCAATCTACAGGGGGCCTTTGTGCAACTGAGTAGGGAAGTTAAAGGACATACTCCTTCACCACTGGTTGTGGCTTAGGAGCAGGCACCTCAATCTCCTTTTTCCTTTCTTTTTCATCTGCTAGAAGTGCTTAAGCAGGTCTCTTCTCCTCCTATATGACCTGGACGGGTATGTCAGCAGTCACCTTCCCGAATCTAGTAGTAATGGCCTTGCATTGTTCGTTAGGGTCCTTCGGGTGAGGCGTGGTGTGACCAGGTAAGGTACCCGAAGCCCTCTGTGCTATGGATTAAGCCATACTCCCCAGTTGGGACTGGATATCCTGCAGAACAACCTGAGTATTCCTCTAACCAGCTTCAAGCGCCATAAATTTACTAGAAGACTTATCCATGAACTGCTCGATATTATTGAATTTGTGAGCACTAGAACTGGCAAGAGAACCCATCAAATCCCGCATTTCAGCCATCGAATCCTGCGATAATGGGGATGCAAGATTTGCGCCCGACTGCTAAAAAGGCCTCGGTTGCGGCTGAGAAAGAGCTTGCCCTTGTCTGGACGGATAAAGAGGTTGTTGTTGCTACTGGAATTGCCCCTGTCTAGGCTGGTATGACGGCCTCTAGAAGACTGGAGGGTCCTTGGAAGACTGGTGGCTTAGGATTACTGCCACCCCAAGAGAAGTTAAAATGATGGTGCCACCCATCGTTATAGGTGTTGCTGTACGGATTGAAGCGCCGAGCATTTCCAATGAAGTCCACCTGCTCTTCGGTGTAGTAGACTCCCTCATTGGCTGCCAGTCTTCTACAGTGTGATGGGAGCTCTCACATCACTGCCAATGCATGACCTATTGTTGCCCTATAGCTAGAACCATCCCATTTCGATCAATTGAAGCGACCAGCTTAGTCACCACCTTCACCAGGTCTGACGACTCGGTATCCATGGCATGAAAACCACGGCCCGGTGCTCGCTGATTCCCCCCTTGTGCCCCCCCCCCAATCATATCCCTGCTCTGTCATTTCCTCAAAGATCTGGTTCAACAATAGTGGCGTATTGGTCAGCATATTTCTGCCATAAACTAAGTCGATCAGTTGCTTATCCTCAAGAAAGAGGGACCGATAGAAGGTACCCATTTTGAAAGCATCATTGAAACCATGGTTGGGGCACTTCAGGAAGAGACCTGTATATCTCTCCCAAGCATCACGGATGGTCTCGTCCTCCTCCTGGGAGAAATGGGTAATCTCCTTCTGCAGGTCCGCTATTTTAGAAGGAGGATGATAGCGGGTCAGGAACTTATTGGCCAAGTCGGTGAATGTAGTGATGGACGTCGGGGGCCGGTTTTCCAACTACAACTTGGCCTGCCCCTCCAAGGTGAATGGGAAGTAGCGCAGCTGGATGGTGTCTTGAGGGACCCCATTTATCTTGATCCCATCAATCATCTCGTTGAATCGCCTCAGATGCGCGCGGGGGCACTCGCATGTTCTCCCATGGAACACCACCGAGCATCTCAACCTAATGATAACCGAGGTTGTCACTCAAAGTTGTTGGCTGCAAATTGAGGGTATTGGATGTTGGACCTCATGTCCTCAGCCTTGGCGGTCCAGTATTATCTCATAGTCTGCTCCTCGGGGACAACCGCCTCAGCAACATTGTGTTCGCCCATTTCTTCTTCACTCTTAGATCCGTCAGCGACAACGAACTTATCCAAGTCCTACTTCGTAGCCAGTCTCGTTGTGAGTGCTCGGAATTGGCGACAAGTTCATTCGATTTCTAGGTCTAACAGATGTAGATCTCCCGACTAGCTACGGGTCATGCACTACCTGCACACAGACTAAAGACACAACCTGTGAAGGCAAACAGGGGAAGGAAAACAAATGCAGAAAAGTAATGCTAAAGTAACAGACGTTTACCTTTCTACAATAACCTAGAGGTCCCTGGCAACAGCGCCAAAACTTGACTCGCTACGACACAACACCAAACTGTGACCAAGTGTAATCTCAGAATGCAAATGCAGTATAGTGGGATCAAGTAATAAAAGTAAACATGGGGCCTAGATTTACTGCCTACTCCGTGATTATCTATTATCTAGAGGGGAAAGTTGAGTGTAGGTGAATTCAAACTAAAGCAGAAAGAAAACAGTAAGTTGTTCGGTTTTCTGATGCAAGAGAAAAGTTACTCAAGAATGAGCCCCCCTATCTCCTTAATTTTGTTCAAGTTGTAATTCCCTTTGGTTGATTCACTGTTGATTAAACTATGGAAGATCCGAATGTAGCTCAGAATCTCTTAAGCTGATCAAGCCCTCTTAGACAGACTATCTGACAGATAACTAGCATTCACCGTGATAGAATGCTAAGGCAATTCGCATAGAACTCCACTACTGGAAATAGAGTCTAGTACAAAGCAGTGAATTAACTGACTCTCGTACAATCAATTCACTCCTACCAATTGAACAAGCTCTAACAAACTAATCAGATTCTATCTATCATAGGTTGAAGTAGAAATCAAGAGAAATTGATCAGGATTCAATTGACTCAGTAAACACACTTCAATCAATTAAAACCAATCAGTATATCATCCCAAAATTCATTACAAGCAAAATCACTAACACATGGAACTAGGGTTCTTCATAACCAAGTGAAAGAAAGGTCTACTCCATAGAGAGAGAGAGAGAGAGAGAGAGGAAAACTGAAATCAAAGCAATCATACTCATAAAGATGGGAATAATCTACTAGGAGGTGTCAATCTTCACTCCTGGATGCGCAATCTAGGCTTCAATGGTGAGAAATCCATTCCAAATATCTCCTATGGTTTATTCTTCTACACTTTGTCTCTCTAGAACTATATTTTTTGCTCCAAAAAGTCGAATCCGCTTCCTTTGGCTTGAATATGCTTATTTACCCCAAAACTAGGCAAAATACGGGCAAGAGCACTGTCATGCTTCTCCTCTGATAGTGCTTTGACCAAAACGTGTGTTTTGCTTAAGTTGGAATGGAGAAATCCAGGGTCGCGTCTGGAAAAAATACCGGCAGTTATTTGAAGAGCACCAGCGGTATTTAGTAAAGCACAATCGTGCTTTTTCTTTGTTTTCTCGTAATTTGTCTTCCTTCAGCAATCTACAAGGAATAGTCTCGTCCACAAAAAACACGAGCAAGATGTTGGAGAAATACAGTCATTCTTTTTGGGAAGCCTGATCGTGTTTTTCACCTGAGCCTTCACCACACTCGGCCAAATAAACACCAGCAGCCATCAAAAGAAGCATGGTCATGCTTGATGCAGGGGACTACGGTATTTTGTACCCAAACGACCCAAAACTTGCGCCTATGCCTTCTTCTACCTACTAGGACCTGAAATGAGACAAAATAGCACAACCTATCGTAAAATAGGCCAAGAAACCACAAATTCGAGCCAAAACGGTTAAGAAATAAAAGTGCAAACATGTGCAAATACGACTCTATTAATAGGTAATTGACTCGCTAAAACACAACTCCTAACAATGGCCAAGTGTAACTAATGAAAGAGACTGTTGTATAGTGGTCAAAGGAATAAATATCGAATCCTTGGGTCTCTATAGGTACTATTACTCAGCTTTAGTATCTAGTAAATCATATTGAGGTTTGATTAACGAAACTACTTTACAAGCTAAACTACGTTAGAATACTAATTACACGTTGGGAACTCTTTTAGGTACGATTCCCCCTAGTCACTAGCCAGATTAATGATTGATGATCTCTAACTTGTTTCACTTTCATTCACAATGAGGAGAATCCTAGACTAGACCTTGAATCTCGACTAAATAAGTCAAGGCCCTCTTGAGCCAATTGCCTAGAGGGACGTATCCTTCTCTAGAACAACTAATCATGGCGTTTTGAACTAGATTCCCTCTATTGAATGAGGTTCTCAATTAATACAAAGCAATGAATCGACCTTCAATTAAAGCAATCGATCCAGTACTATCAATCTATGATGCTATATTGACCTAATCAGGTATTCACTCTCATAGGATCAAAGTAGAATTAATAATATCGACTAAAGCTTAATTGAATCATGAAAACATCATAGATTGAATATGAACTTAAGATTATCAAGTAGTAGTACTCATATAATCATCCAATTAAACAGACATGGCTAGGGTTCCTCAAAACCTAAGTAAAGGGAAGTTACTCCATAGAGAAGAGAGAGACTGTAGTAAGAATCTTCAGATGATCAGTCTTCAAGTCCATGCTTGTTCCTCGAGCTTCCAAGGCTCCAAAAACGCCCTTAAATCGTCCTCTCACTCTTTGGTTCGTCCCTTGGGTGTTTGGGAACCAAAACCCAGTCAAGTATCGTTTGATCCCAGATGCTCGTAGTCTCGTCTTGTTTCTTTTCATGACAAGCTTACATGATTATTTGTCAATAAAATTAGGTAAAAATTCATTCTTCCTTAAGTCATGCCTGAGTTTCTCCCCCCGAGTCACAAATTGATCTTCGATTGACTTGAAACTTGCGTCTATGCTTCACTTTATGTGCTAGGACTTGAAATGTGACAAAGGAACACAACCTAGCGTAAAATAAGCCAAGGAACGATCAAGAAATGAAGGGGGAAACATGTGCAAATATTGATTCATCAAATCCCCCCACACTTAACCGTTTGTTTGTCCCCAAGCAAACTTGGCTCAAACCAATGCAACTCTCCAGACCTCCATAGCATCGTCCAACTCCAATGTCGGTAGATATCATTCTAGATCATTTAGAAGCTTACGAGGTCAACCAATGCACAAGACACCCCCTAGCTTCTTCGGCGAGAACTCTAGTCCCGAGTCGGTATCATGCCAAGTAGTGATTGGAGGACAAGTGATTCGTGGACAAAGAGACTCTAGAAAACAGAAGAAATCAGGGACTCAACTTTTTAGGTGCTCTGTTTTCTTTCTTTGAAGATGGTTGGAACCCCCTTTCTTCCTTTATTTTTGTTTTTGTTTTTTTTTTTTTTTTGTTTTTTTGCAAGATTCCAACTTGTTATTTTCAGAAAACGGGGCTCCCACCTAGCCAAGGTTTTGAGGGAGCCGGGCTATTACAAGCCATGCCAGGAGCGGCTCTTATCGACCATGGTGGGAGCATATGTCTCAAGCCTCGTGTGGGGGAAAGCGGTGTAAAGGGGCTGGAGGTAGTAGGTGGAAGTTGGGAACGGATTCCCGTCTCCCCTTACACACTTTCACCGATTTCCACACGGGAGACGTTATTTGAAAAGTACAATTTAGAGCACCTTTTTCAAACACATGATACAGGAGTCCAAGACAGGGACAGAGTCATTGATACCACATGATTCAAGTGTCCTTAGACCACTAATTCACACAATCAACCAACACAATATGAAGAAGAAAAGAGACTTCTCAATTCATCAACATCCTCCATAGTGCTACACTAACTCCCTAGGTTGCATATTATTATAAAGACTGTCAATTCAAAGCATAATGAGCAGGCGATTTCAAGGAACACGTACTTGGAGCCCTCAAATCAAAATTTGGATAGTGGACTAGGCTCCAAGCACACACAAATAACAAAACATTCAAACGCAAACATAATGGAACATCCCCCCACACTTAAGAATGACATTGTCCTCAATGGAAGAAAGATAAGTAGCGTAGAACGAAGTTACCAGATCAAGTGTGAATGATGGTGGACGTGGCAGGCAGTGCATTCCATGAGAGAAAGTAGAGAGAGTAGTCATAACATAAAATCTCACTTAGGTTGAGTAATTGACTGTAAAATCAAAAGACAAACTAACTCAACCGAAGAGCAATGGGAAAGAAACTGTAAACCGACTGGTTGGGTTGCCTCCCAACAAGCGCTTCTTTCACGTCGTGAGCCGGATGATGGCTCTTAAGTTTTGGTCCACCCCAACACCTCCTTGAAGTTGAGGTTCTCATCGATGACTCGTCCCGAATATCACAATTAATTCCCGCCTAAGGTCCAAGTATAAACCTTAGTCGGGTGCAATACAGGGCAAGTATGTTTAAATATCGACTCGGGCCGGTCCGTATACCCCTAATTCAGTCATTTGAATCATTATCTAGCAATTGATTTTGGTTTAAAAGTTTTCTAATTAAAGTAAAGCAAGGGAAAAGTAAATGGTTTTGAAAGCTCTTTGTGAGAAGGATCACTTGGGTGTCGCTTCCCCCTAACTACTACCATGGTATGTGAATCGAAGTGATTGTTATGGGCAAGGTGTCCGCGAACCGCTAGGGGATGCAAATATGGTCATAGACCACACTCTTGATTGCCAAACCGAGGGATACATTATAGGCTCCTCAAGTGGCCCTCTCGGTTAAGGCAATCGATGGTTGACTTACTCCCTCTCTCAACCCAAGGGTTGGTCGGCTTAATCGCCTTAACCAAATTGTTTAATCCAACATCAAGGTTTTGCCTAAATTAACCTAGATAGGTGACTTAAAAATCCCTAGGAATCCCAAATCAATTGAGCCTCCCTTGAAAGGGGGGTTTCCCTCTCTAATCTAGGTTAAATTGGCCAATTAGATTGCTAAGCACAAACATGCACAATCATTCCATTCACATAACAAAAACTACATAGTAAATAGTTAGGGTTTCACACACCCAAGTGAAAAGAGGAAACTACTCCATGCTAGAAAAGGGAGAAACACAAGGGGAAGAGGTAGAAACCATCATGTAGATGCTTCCAATCTTCTTTTCACTAGTGTTGATCTTCTCTTGAATAGAATCCTCCCAATTCACCACTTGGAGCAAACCCTAGCCTTCCTTCTCCTTTTGTTCGTTCTTTCTCTCTCTAAAAGCTGAAGAAAACACTTTCTCACTCTTGGGATCTCCCCTCTCTCTTCCTTTCAGCTCTCCTTTTAAACAGGGGTCGGGCTCAGTTCACGACCGTGAACTCAAGAACGCGTCCGTGAACTCAAGGCTGGCATCGAAATGCCCCACTTTGGTTGCTCAGGTTCACGGGCAACAACTCCAGTTCACGATCTTAGTGACCGTGAACTCACCTGGTGTCAGTAACTTAGGATTTGGCCCTGGACGCATTGATGTTCATGGGCAAAAGCTCTTCTTCACGGTCTAAGCAGACCGTGAACTTCCACGAGAAATAGTGAACTGCCGGTTTTTCACCTCTTGTCCCGGTTTTCGCTCCTTTTCGTCCAACTTTCAACTCCGGGGCTGATTTCACCTGTTAAATCCTTAAACATGCTGAAACACAAGGAACCTCATGTAAAACCACCCTTTTAGGAGCACAATTGCCACAAACGCCTAAGAAAAATGGGGGTAAATATGTACAATTAGGCCCAAATTAATCGATGAAGTGGAGTCTCAAGTCACGAGCATGTGGTATGGCAGGTGATGAAGGATCGTGCACTTGATTCATATGAAGTCTCCACCCTCGAGACCTCTCCTTCTATCCTTCTCTCGTCTCATTTCACCAAACCAGATAGGACAACATTTATTGACCACCATCGCGAAAACCAAGAGGGACCGATGTCAACGTGGCCTTGGTCTGGCAAAGAAATACTGCAAACGGGTCCCTGCCAAGCAGCTCCTAGAAGTTTGGTGGAGATATTACTTGTAACTTAGGGCTTGTGCAAGCCTCTTCCACCTTAACTTCGTTCTCAGTCTGGGCGCCAATTGATTCTCCAACCCCCCCACCCCCTTCCTTCCTCAAAATTTGATTCGTCCCCTTGGAAAAGATCAAGAAGTCAATCTTCTTTACTTTCTTCCTCTACCTCCACAACTTCTTTCCTTACCCTTTCTCCCTCTTCTTCTTCCAGCACGGATTGGAGAGCAAGTTGCCAAGCAATTTCTTCGATGAGATCATCTTGCATCTCCTCGCTCATGCATGTCTCTTTAAAACTTGAGGTGTAATGGAAAGGCGTGGTCGGCTACAGCAGGACATTCTTGATCATGATCATCACGGGAGCTCTCCGTGACAATTTTCGTATGCTCCACAATATCTTTGTAGCCTTCTTCATCCTCCTCCTCTTTTTGTATGACAGCAGAAAGGCGGTCTTTAGCAAGCTGTGCACAAACTTTCTCAACCCACTTTATTTGCTTTGCTGAGCGCTGAACAGCCTCCTCCGATTCACGGAGAAAGGAAGGATCAGGAACAATGGATTGGATTAGGAGGTCCATCTTGTGGAGGGATCTCTCGGTGTCTTGAGCAAATTTCTCCACAAGAAGCCTCAAGTCGCTGTTCGGATCTAGCTGTGGAGTGTAGCATTGCTATGTAGAATGGCCTGTGAAGGATGCCATGGCTAACTCTAGCTCCGATGTCCTCTCTGGTTGTGGAAGAAATTCCTCTTCATAAGGAAATTGTTCTTGAAATGTCCAAGGTAGTGGCGGATCCAGGGCTGGGCCAACCCAGGCCCCGGCCCAGCCCTCCTTCGGATCCAGAGTTAGTTTAGTGCTTATAAAATTTTTCAATTCAGGTATTTGGCCCAATGCTATTTAAATTCTTGTCTAGTTTTATTTGATAATAGGATTTTGTGTAACTAGAAAAATGGTTCAGATGAACATATCCAAACCATTACTCTAAATTTATACTAAATTTTCTATAGCCCCAATGACTTTATTTGAAAAAAGACATGAAAACCTAAAAGTGTAAGTTTCATTAAAATAAAAAATAAAAACTCTAAACTAAAGCACACCCTTCCTTGAAAAATTCAAAAGAATTCCCAATCCCCCCCAAAACAAAACAAGAACGAGGAGACGAGCATACCCAAAATGGATTTCTCCGCCAACCCGTCGAGCTGGTTTTCTTTCCATTCTTTTGATTAAGAAAATATTTACAAACTTCCTGAGTCATCATTTAGATTGCCTCAATTTAGTGGGGCACTAGATTCTAACCGTTCTTTCTGGCGTTTTGATGAAGAAAATATTTACAAACTTGCTCAAGAGTTTAGCCTCGAGACTTTGAATGCTATGAGATGCATTCTTTGGAGAATGCACTACTCATGTGATGGAGATGAAGTTTCTTCTCTTGCAAAACTATTAGAGAAGTTGGAGGAAACAGGGATGAAAAAATAATAAAAATTGATTTCTCGATTGATTTGTCTAGTGTTGACCTAGCTGTTTCAACAACTACCATGGAGAGAATATTTTCAGCAATGGAACATGAACATTGATTTGTGCAACAAAATGAGCGATGAATTTCACGTTGATTACTTATCTATTTTCTTTGAAAAAAGTATATTATAAGTATGAATGGAGATTATATTATTGATGAATTTTCTAAATTAAAAGACTTTCTTGTACAATTTACATTATAATGAAAACTATATTATTATATATTTTTGTTTATGGTACATAATATTCTATTCAAATGCGGCCCAGTGGTCTCTTATATCCTAAATCTGTCGCTGGTCCAAGGGTATGGTTGTTCTTCGTAGTAGGGGGGTTGGTACTGCAATCCGAATCCATAGTCTTCTCCTCCTTGATTGCTCCAGGAAGTCTCGGGGTAATACCACTCGGGTGATGGTGGATAGCCCAATGGTTGGAGAAGCCATTAGGATCCATAATTCAGATATGCACCAACAAAAACACCCAAGTGAAAAGCAAGGATGGAAAAATAAAAACAAAAGAAAGAAAAACTAAATTAACAAACTTATGTCTTTCCTAATAATCTAGAGAGTCCCCGGCAACGGCGCCAAAAACTTGACTCGCTAAAATACAACTGCTAACAATGGCCAAGTGTAACCAACGAAAAGACTGCAGTATAGTGGTCCAAGTAATAAATATCAATCATCGGGTCTCTATATGTACTATTACTCAGCTTCAGTTCATTATCTAGCAAATCATATTGAGGTTTGATTAACTAAACTATTCTACAAGGTAAGCTAGGTTAGACTACTAATTTAAGGTTGGGAACTCACTCAGGTATGATTTCCCCTAGTCACTAGGCAGATTAATGATTGATGATCTCTAAGTTGTTTCACTTTCGTTCACAATGCGGAGAATCCTTGACTAGACCTTGAATCTCGACTAAATAAGTCAAGGCCCTCATGAGTCAATTGCCTAGAGGGACGTATGACGTATCCTTCTCTAGAACAACTGGTCAAGGCATTTTGAACTAGATTCCCTCTATTGAATGAGGTTCTTAATCAATATAAAGCAGTGAATCGACCCTCGACTAAAGCAATCGATCCAGTACTGTCAATCTATGGTGCTCTATTGACCTAATCAGGTATTCACTCTCATAGGATCAAAGCAAAATTAATAATCTTGACTAAGGAAGAATTGAATCATGAGAAAATGCATAGATTGAATATGAACTCAAGATTATCAAGTAGGAGTACTCATATAATCATCCAATCAAAAAAACGTGGCTAGGGTTCCTCAAAACCTAAGTTAAAGGAAGTTACTCCACAGAGAAGAGAGAGACTGCAGTAAGAATCTTCAGATGATCAGTCTTCAAGCCCGGGCTTGTTCCTCGAGCTTCCAAGGCTCCAAAAACGCCCTCAAATCATCCTCTCACTCTTTGGTTCGTCCCTTGGGTGTTTGGGAACCAAAACTCAGCTCTCCCCCTCCAAAAAATCGCAAAACAATCTTTATACCCGCTGAAATTCGCACCCCCGACTTGCAGGGCCGTGGGAATTGAGATTTTGGTCGTGCAACTCCCTGGAAAAACTCACACGGCCGTGCACAATTTCCAGCATGCACTCCTAAGCTCTGTTGAACTCGTTTGAGCTCGTTTGACCTCCGATTTAGGTGTCGTTTGATCCCAGATGCTCGTAGTCTTGTCTTCCTTCTTTTCATGACAAGCTTACATGATTATTTGTCAATAAAATGAGGTAGAAATTCATTCTTCCTCAAGTCATGACCGAGTTTCTCCCTCCGAGTCGCCAATTGATCTCCGATTGACTTGAAACTTGCGCATCTGCTTCACTTTATGTGCTAGGACCTGAGATGTGACAAAGGAACACAACCTAGCGTAAAATAGTCCAAGGAACGATCAACATCCTAGTTAAACGATCAAGAAATGAATGGAAAAACATGTGCAAATATCGAGTCATCAGTAACCTCCCTTGCCACTAAGATGCCTTGCATTACAGCTTAACCTAGTACCCTACTTGTCATGCTTGACTTGGGATCTTCATGCTTGATGAGATGCAGCAATGAGGGGGCCTTAGGAGCGACGATGCTTGATAGACGATGAAGTTGTATGTCGACCACCTAGTTAGGTATCATTCTCTAGGGCTGGGAAACAGTCCAATTCGGTTTAAACCGGACCGGATTGACCCGGTTTTTTAAAACCATATTGATAAATCCCATGACCGAAGACGGGATTGGATTGTTTCCCGGTTTTAACCAAACCGGATTGGATGAAATACGGTTTTAACCAAAAAACCGGATACATTCAATTTAATTACATACGACGACGTTTAAACTTACTTGAGGAGGAAAAAAATTATCATCGACCTGCATCTCTCTCCCAAATTCAAATTGCAATTTCTATCTTTTTTTCCCCAAATCTCGCATCTCTATCCCAAATCCTATATCTCTCTTCCCCAATATCGCATCTATCTCAATCTTGTATCTTCTCCTCCTCCTCTCGCTTCTTCAGGGTTCGTCCATTGGCTGGTGGGTGACGATTGTCGACAAAGATCTCAACGGCAGGCGCTACCGAGGTGGAACAGAACAGAGAGACCTCTGCATGCCTCTTGCGACTGGCGGGATTCGCTGTCGGCCAACGGGAGTCACCTAAGAAGGGTGTAGGGATGCGATTTGCAAAGGTATGGGGTCTTCTTCTTCTTCTTCTTCTTCTTCTTCTTCTTCTTCTTCTATTTTTGGTAGTTCTTGTGTTTCAAAGGTGAACGAGAGGGGATAGAATGAGTGGTGGCGGCATGAGAATTGAGAGGGGTCTGTCTATTTTTTAGTCAGGGATCAGGGATAGGGTTGGGGCTTGGCGGGCCTTTGTTGGGGCTAGTGGACTTGACTTTGGGCTGTGGTGGGCTGGGCTTGGCTTGATTTTGGTTATCCGGGTTTTCCGGTTTTAACCGGATTGGACCGGGTTGGCGTGCACCATAACCGTGAACTGGATTGGATTGATGGCAATCCGGTTTCCGGTTTCCGGTTACAACCGGGACGGTTTTAACTGCCCGGTTTCCGATTTGACCGGAAAATTGGAACCAGATTCCCAACCCTATCATTCTCTATACTAGATGTCCAAGAGGGAACCCCCTTAACTCATATGCCAACATCATGCTTGGGGGTCTTCACTTTTTTGCTTCCAATATGATCACCATCTCATGATAGTTGTGGCCATATTGGCCAAGTAACTAGTGCTCGATGCTTTAGTGATATCCATGTTGATCTTCTTCTATGAGGTCAACCTTGGAGCCTTCATGACCTTGTTGGGGGTAGGTACCATGCTTGATAGGCCTGAGGCCTATCATGTTTGGTTGGTTCGAGGATGAGACGATAGTGGATATGCCTACCCATTTTGAATGATGTCATGCTTGACACCAAGGTGTCCCGGAGGTTGACGATGAGGCTGCTTGAGAGCTAGGTGACCAGGGGTGTTGACAAGGAAGGTGTCATGGTGGTGACCACGTTGGTGGTCATATCTGAACCCCCCCCCCCCTCCCCCTCTCATCGGATAATGTCATGTTTGATGGGTGTTGGCGAGGGATACCCAGTCTGACCCCTTAGATGGTCATGCTTGGGGGTCGGTGGTGATAATTATAAGCAGGGGTGGAAATCGATATAGTATCCCAATATCAAATACCAAGTTCTGAATACATAATTACACCCTAAAGTCAATCCCAATCTCAATCCTTAAATAATTTTGGTATCTCAATCCCTCAATATTTCGGTATCCAATCGATACTTCAATATCTCATTCGGTATCATCAAATATGAAATTAATTACTTTTGTAATTAATAATTAAAGATATAAAGTAGATTTTATTGTTTAATTTAGGACAAAGAGACTAAGCAATGAGTCTTGAGTTTGCCTAGAGCTAGGATATGGATAAGGAGAATGGAGCAGAGATGACATCTCAAATTCTTGTCATTGGTATTCTTTAATTTGACGAATTTGAGGTTGAGAGACGACTAATACTAGTGTTTGTCTTTTGGTGTTATGAAAATAATATGAGATTAGGGGAGAGATGAGAGTGACTTAAACTGGAAAGTTAAAATTGAGTTGGGTTGGGACTTCTAAGCTGTGAAAGAGTGAGAAATTATCAATGGTTGTGTTATTTTTCATTAATTTTTAATTTTTGGTGTTTCTCGATATTTTGGTATATACTTATCCCAACCCCGTAATCCCGAATACCGAATATCACTCCAAAATGAATCTCAATCTCAATCCCTACAAAATAAGTCGGTATTCGGTAATAACAAATAGTGGTAAGTTCGATACGGTATTCGGTATATCCCAAATACCGGTACCAAACTTCCCGCCCTAGTGATAGGGTATACACTATAGTACCATACATGACACCATACGTGGCCCAAAACTCCATCACTCAAGTCTAAGTGAAATTAATTTAATTAACATGGTTAAGTTGACCTTAAATAACCACTTCTTGAAATTAATGGTATTTTAGTTGTTTTTAAAGGTAAATATACAAAGATAATAAAAATTTTGTGAATATGAAAATGTATTTTGTCAAACAAGATAATAATGTAATATTTTAGAAGTTTTTAGTAGTAACTTGTATATTCAGAGAAAAGGGAAAAAAATGCTCTTTCTAAATATTTTCTCTCCAGCTCTGTTCTCAAGAGCTTCTATAGCTACCACCGGCGGAGCCTTCAATCTTCCCATATCAATCCCCTGCAAAACTCTGAAGAGAGTTAATGAAGATCACAAAGCAGTTCAAGAAAGGATACGAAGCATTGAAGAAAGGTCTTTTCTTGACAGGTCTACGACCAATGGGGGAAACACTATCTCATGGGATGATCCCAGGGGAAACACCAATCCACCACCCAAACCACCTGAGCAGGGGTCTTTCAATAATCAGCGAAGTAAACCAGCTACCACCACCAGAGGAGGAAATAGGCGTGAGAATTGGAAGATGGGGGAAGCAAGAGTTAATGCACTGCCAAGGTTAGTCAGAGCGACACAAAGAATTTACTGCCTCAAAGCACCTGAGATAGAGACAGGGGAATGCTACCCAGCAATCATAAGTGCCCAGAAGCATCAATGCACAGAGAGGAACAAGGAAGGCAGTAAATGCACTGAGCAAATCTGCCGGCCGAGATCTTCACGAAAGGTACAGGTGGAAGGAGTAATTGCCAACAGCAAAGATAGAGCGGCTGCTAGCTTTTGCCATAAATGGCAAGCAAAAGGTTGCACGGCAGGAGGGTCGATCGGAGAAGGGGGCAGCAAGAGGCAATCAATGCACAATGGTATCTGTGAGCCAATATGACAGACCAAGATACAAATAAGGATCTTGAGGGCCTATATAAAGGAAGCCAAGCAAGCTTGGACAGCAACAACTCACTCACCCATAGTCAACTCCATAAACTACTACAAGCAATACCAAAACACCCAGAGATCACTTCCTTCATCCTGCACAGCAAAGAAACCCAGTCACCAACAAATGGAAACACACAACAAGAGCCTCAGAGTGGAGAAGAGTCATCTAGTCCTGAATGTAAGACCAACTATTGTTGGAGCTCGAGGTAGCGGTATGGCAGTCAACAAGTGGAGAGCCTATGGCGAAGTACAAGCCACAAAAGAAGCTGAAAACCTATTTGTATACTCTTTCCAATTAGCAAAACAGAGGGATGTTGTCTATGAGGCAAGACCGTGGAACTTGAGCAATACCCTGGTTGCCCTGAAGAAGTGGGATGGCGAACAGAAGGCTGAATCGGCAGATATACCCACCGTCACCCTATGGGTCCAGATGCATGACTTCCCTCAATCCCTCAAAGATGAAGAAGCAGTCCAGGCGGTTGCGGCATTCATCTTCCACCAGTTCCACTGCATAGACCAGTCAAACTTTGACTTCAAGGGCTGGCTAAAGTTTATCAGAGCCAAGGTGGAGGTGAGCATTGAAGACCCCACCCCAATCGGATTCGAATATCCGGTAGGGGAACGCTCCATTTGGGTCAGTTTTAAGTATGAAAGGATTATGGACATGTGCTACTTTTGTGGGAGACTCAGCCATCTAAATCACAACTGCTTGGAAAGAGAAGATCATAGAAGGAGGGTTGAATATCGACCCGTCGGAGGTGTATACCGATGCCCTCAGAGCCGTCCACGACTCGCCGACAAACACTCCCCCGACGTCGTTCAGGGAAAAGCTGGCAAATTACAGACGCCTGCCAAACCCAACCCCGATAACACAGCAAATCTGCGGAAATCGAGGCGAATCTTCTCAGGTCACCCTGGCAGGGCTTCCAATCCATGGACCATACAGCTGCCCAACTGGGTACGCCCTGCTGCCGAGCAGTGGAAGGGAGTCATACTGGGTTTTCAGAGGAGAAGGCGGCAACCCTACCCCACTTCAACAAACTGGCTTAGTGGAAAGAGAGATGGAGGTAACGACCAGAGCTATGCAGAGGAGCCTCGACCTAGGAGACAAAGCAGCAAGTAGAGAAAAGATGGCGGGCCTGTTCGAAATGGGCCAAACCCTCTCCCTTGGCAGCCCATCCTACAGCCCATCAGTAACCCTACTAGGCCCAGTACTGGCGATTCCCCTTAACCAAAGCAATATCAATCAGGTCCAGTCCCAAAGTCTGTCAACAGAGCCCACTTGTGTGCCAACAGAAGTGGATCCGCCAAGACCAGAGAAGAAAAGAAAGTCTGATACCAGAGTCAGCACTGATGGCTCGGCAATGCAACAAGAAACACCTTCTAACATTTCTTTTGACTCTCTGTCCTTTACCCCAAGGGAGAATAGGAGAACTTACTAGAGAAGGAAGCATATCATCAGGAGGAAAAGTCTTGCTGAAATTACGGCGGAAGGATGTCAATCCGGAGAAGGGGAGTCTACCACTCCGAGGGCAGCGGCGGCAAGCCTTGAGCCGCCTCAACATGAATGAGAATCATCAGTTGGAATTGTAGGGGGTTCGGCCAACCCCTCACAAGGAGTTATTGCGGCAGGCTGTGCCATCAATTTGGCCCTCGGTGCTCTTTCTGATGGAGACCAAGAAGGAGGATGCTTTTATAGAAAGTTAGGATGAGGTCTATGAAGTTTGATCGGTCAGCGTATGTTGGTCCAGAGAGGGAAGGAAGTGGTCTCGCTCTTTGGTGGAAAGAAGATGTTGATATTAGTATTCTCGACTCTTGTAAGTCCTTCATGGACACCAGGATTAGTAGGAATGGGGTTAGCTTCTTCTGCACTTTTGTACACGCTCCTACCACGGAGGTAGAGAGGCGAACTTTATGGGATCGACGTACGACCCTAAGGACGAATTAGGAAGACAGGTGGCTTGTGGTGGGTGACCTCAACGTTGACGTCTATCCTTTTGAAAAGCAGGAAAGATGCCCTCTTAGAAATGAAAATGTATCTCCGTTTAAATATTTCATGGCTAGAAATGCATTGGTGGACCTCGGTTTCTCTGGCCAAGTTTTCACGTGGAGTAATAAATAGCAAGGGGACGATCTGATTAGAGAAAGGCTCGATCGAGCTCTGTGCTCTACCTCCTGGAGAACAAAATTTGAAACTTCCACGGTCTACCAGGAATATTTTGTGGAATCAGACCATTGTCCGATAAGGATTGACCTCCATCCAGTAAGGAAATCTAAATGTACTCCCTTCATATTCGATAAAAGATGGAGGGAGAGCGAAGAATGTAGTCAAATTGTTACTAATCGGTGGAGGGGAGGTGGGAATATAAACAGTATGCTAGAGGATTGCAAAACCAAATTGCAGTGTTGGGCAAGGAACGACAGGTTTGCCAAATTGAAGAGAGAAACAGAGATAAAACAAAGATTACAAATTCTGCAAGGTTTGAGAGGGTCCCCGGATAGGGTCACAGAGGAAAGGAATCTCCACCGTGAGCTGGAATCCATCTGGATGACAGAGGAGAGCTTCTGGGCACAGAGGTCAAGGATCTCTTGGCTACAGGAGGGTGATCAGAATTCAGGCTTCTTCCACGCAAGTACCATCAGAAGGAAGAATAGAAATCAAATCCTTAAGCTTAAGGATGCAGAAGGGTTATGGATCGACAACCCTCAGGTTTTGAATGAACATGCCAAGGATTTTTACCTCAACCTCTTCACCAGCAATGGCAGGTTGTGGGACACAAGTATTCTGGAAGGGTTTCCCAAGCTGGTTTCGAAAGAGATTAATATTGGCTTGTGTGCACCAGTGGGGAAGGAGGAGATCCGTAGGGCTGTGTTCCAGCTTGGAGCCAATAAGGCGCCAGGACCTGACGGTTTCCCAGGTCTCTTCTTTAGGAAATACTGGAACACACTGGGTGACACCTTCAACCACGAGATCACCTGTTTTTTCCAAACAGGAGTTATGTCGGCGAATTGGAATAACACTTTTATTACTCTCATCCCAAAGATCGAAGCACCGGAATTGATTAGTCAATTTCGGCCAATTAGCTGCTGCAATTTCAGGTATAAGGTTATTACCAAGATCATGACAAACAGACTCCAACCTTGGCTGCCTGATTTGGTCAATGAACTTCAGTCGGCTTTCACAGGGGGAAGACAAATCCAAGACAACATCATCATTGTACACGAGGTGCTTAACCATTTCAAAAAGCATAAAACAGGTACTCGAAGGGAGATGATGATGAAAATTGATATGAGAAAGGCTTATGATCTGGTGGAATGGGACCTTTTGATGAACCTCCTTAGGGCCTATGGTTTCAACGATGTCTGGTGTACATGGGTCCAGTCCTGCATCTCAACTGTCAGCTTCAGCCTCCTGTTCAATGGTGAACCCTCCACCAGCTTCTTACCCTCTCGGGGCATTCGACAAGGGGATCCCCTCTCGCCCCTGCTCTTCATCTTGATGTCGAATGCCCTTTCTTTCTTGATCGAAAAGGCATTTCTTAACAATGGGATCAAAGTAATCAAACTCAACAGATCTTGCTCCACCCTCTCACATTGCCTTTTTGATGACGACACAGTCATCTTTGGAGAGGCCTCTTGTGAAGAAGCGGGGAAGATCCTCGACATACTCAATGACTATGGGGCGATCACAGGTCAAGAGGTTAATAGGGATAAATCCTCTATGTTCTTCAGCTTCAATGTCCCTAGCGTTGAACAGGAAAGGATAATCCACGAAGCCGGGTTTGCTCCCTCCAACTGCCATTCCAACTATCTTGGAGTGCCTATCGAATGGGGAAGATCCAAGAAAGAGACTTTCAACTTCCTCCTTCAACGCATGGAAAGTAGAGGAGAAGCATGGAAAAGTCTCATCCTATCCCCAGGAGGGAAAGAAGTGCTTCTGAAAGCGGTTTTCCAAACTGTTCCATCCTATATTATGTCCCTGTTCCTTTTGCCTAAGGGTACAACGAAGAAGATGGACACCATGCTCAAAAACTTCTTCTGGGGAGGCTCCATGACAAAGAGAACTATTCATTGGAGAGCTGGACATGTGTTGTATGCTCCAAAAAAGGAAGGGAGACTTGGCTTCCGCCCTTTTCATATCTTCAACATGGCATTACTGGCTAAGCAGGCGTGGATGATCCTCACCAACAAGGATGCCTTGTGGGTTACTGAAGAGTATCTACTTCCCCAGCTCGGATTTTCTTGATGCTAAAAAGGGAGGAAAGGCCTCATGGATTTGGTCTAGTTTGTGCGAAGCAAAATCATGGATGAGACAAGGCTTGATCCGAGTCATTGGAAATGGAAAAACAATGAAGGTCTTCCACGATCCGTGGATATGCGACAGGGCAGGGCCCCTTCTTCAGTTTGATTGGCTGGACATGACTACTGCTGACAGCTGGATCGATGAAGTCTCGAGGGAGCGGAAATTTGACCTGCTGTCCGACTTTCTTGGAGCCCATGATCTGAAACAAGTAGCTGCCATCCCCATTGGACCTGTGTTGCTGGAAGACTTCTGGGCATGGAGGTTCACTGACCAAGGGATTTTTACGGTTAAGTCATCCTTCACTCATTTCCATAACCGCGTCTGGGGAACTCAAGGACAAGTCGAGGAGGTGTCGGAGTCGAGTAAGAAAAGGTGGAAATGGTTGTGGAGTCTGTCCATCCCTCCGAAGCTGAAGTTTTTCGTGTGGAGGGTGACTAGAGGAGCTATTGCTTCCAAAGAAAACTTGCATGCGAGGAACTGCTCTGCTTCAAAGGCCTGCCCACTCTGTGCCTTCCCATCCGAATCGATACATCAATGCCTCTTCAAATGCCCTCATGCAGCTGAAGGATGGAATCAGGAATGGCCCTCATTGCCTCCCCCTGCCCCTCTCACCCCATTCCTGGATTGGTTGGATGCCCTTAAGCACAGTTTCTCGATCTACTCGATTCAGAAAATCATTTTTCTCGTTTGGCAGACTTGGAAAGCAAGGAATGAGAAGATCTTCAAGAACACATCCCTGTGGCCACCCTCCACAATCTCGAAGGCAGCACTGGCGCATCATCAGTGGACCACCTGCCCCAGGAAACTAAATACAGTTTCCCCTACACCCTAGCTCATCCCACCCCAAGATCACTCTTCACCACCGCCAAGTACTCATGTCTTTGAAGTACACTGCGATGGATCGTTCTTCGACGATTCCCAGGAGGCGGCTTATGGCGTCGTTGTCTCGAACAACCATGGTCAAGTGTGTGATGGCAGAGCTGGTACCTTGCACTGTTTTTCTCCTTTAGAAGCTGAAGCGAAGGCTCTGCTGGAGGGCTCCTGGTTGGCAGCCTCCCTCAACTCTCCTTGCCTGCTGCGGTCAGACTGCTTGCCCCTGGTGAGTGTGGTTCATAACAATCCGAAGTCATGGCCATGGCGAGCGGCAGCTTGGCTGGGTATCATCAAACAAACGTTGGACAGTAACCCTTTGATCTTGATCAAACACATCAATTGGAAGAACAATTCTAAAGCGAATTGGGTAGCTAGGTCATGTGCGAAAAATCAATTACCCTCGCAATGGTTACAGATTCTTGATGTGGTTTCCCCCTTATTGTAACGTTTGGCTTTCGCCAGTTTTTATGGAAATTCAGTATCCTTTTGTTAAAAAAAATTAGTATATTCAGAAAAAAGAAATGGTCAAAATGAAATCACCTACAACGAGGTTTTCCCTCCACTCACTAAGCTTGATGACTGATGAGACCGATACGAGTAGGCTATTATTATATATAGAGTCTATCTTTTATATTGTCCCTGCTAGGTTTACTATTAACAGTAAGATTTCAGTCTCCCAAGAACTGCATTTTCTGCATAATGATAAAGATGGTTGAAAGAAGGGAAGATATTATAATTATCATCGAAAGGAAAAGAATATTCCAATATTTAAGTGTTGGCTTGTCCATCTGTTGGGCCAGGGTGTTCCGTACCAGGGAGCAACATGATTTAATGGAATGCATGAAAGGATTAACCCTCGTTAGCTTTTTCCATTCCTCAGTTAACCCTCGCAAACTTTACACCATCTTTAGTGATTAGATCTAAAAGTCCAAAATTTGAGGCTATAATTTAAATTCTAGTCCCTTAAAAGGTATTTTGGTCTAAATAGTTTGTTCCAAAAGTCCAAATTTTCATATTTGCGCCTTAACTCATAATCCAGTTTTGTATATATTTCATCATTCTAATTACAAAATTTGTTCATTAATTTTATATAGGTACTAATAATTAATTAAGACGAACATTTCGACAAATTTTTTTGAATTCCGACGAAAAAAAATTATTTGTAAATATGACTTAATTAATGAAGGTCTCTTGTTTGGACCGAAAGAGCCGTTGGACGGTTGGAGGAGATTGTGAGTACTAAAAGGTAAAGTTGTTTCTTTTTTTATTATTATTAAAGCTCTTTTTGGCAGGTGGGCCCGTGTGCTTTTCCCTCATGTGGCAACACTATCTTTTGGAACTTTTTGTCCTTTTCTGACCCAAATTCGGACCCCATTTTTGGATCAATTGGAACTTTTGACCTTATGGAACACCAGCCCACCACTAAAGTTGGTCTTAAGGAGTAAAGAAAAAAGAGAAGTTCGATTTCACTCTAGTCTAGCAGTAGATTGAGAGGAAGAAGAGAGACCATGCGACGTCGTTTTGAGTTGCGTGTAAGTTCTCAAATTGCATCCAAGACCCATTTGTAACCTTTCCTCCTTACCACCCAGCACACATCAGTTATGCTTGAAACTCTGACTTCTCGCGAATCCAGATCCGCCAAAAGAAATGAAGAAGATGTCGTTGAGGATAAATGTGGACGACAGCAACAAATGCAGTCGAATGAGGAAGGTCAGATGAAGTCGAGGAGGAAGTTCGGATGTTGTTGGTGCTGATGGGTAGGAGGGTAATGATTGGAAGGATAAAATTGAGGGATTTCAAATCGAAATAGTTGAGGAGTCAACTATTTTGAATGTTGCACATGCAGGTTTTCGATATCTCTAATGATCGAATTCCTAATTTATTTTTAGCTATCCCAGATGCAGAATTATGGCAAAATATGAATGGTGGCAAAAATTATCTTCTCTATAAAAATTATTGATTTCTACTGTGGATTTTTCTCTTCAATACTGCTGGTGATTTTTTATTTATAGAATAGTTAAGATACCAATTAATGTTTGGGTATGCACTCAAAACTCTCTTTTTCTTTAGTTTCAATTATCATAAAATCTCATTTAATCAAAGTGCAAGTATTAGGTGTGTTCAAATAGTTACTGTGGTAATAACTAAACCAATTAAGTCTAAATTTCATTAACCATGAAATAAAATGTCTTAACCAAACAGTCCAAATTAACACGAAAACCAAATTAACGAAACCAAAGTTTAATTGGTTTGGTTAATTGGATAATCGAATTAACCAAATAATGTAACATTACATGAAAACAGTTATCCTGTCAACGAATAAAACATAACCGTATGTTATTACTATCATAAACTATCATTATATGAGCAATAATAATAAGACAAACCATCCATGATTATCATCATCATTCGAGTTAATACATCATTCGTCATCTCTGCACCTAATATAGTTAGTTTACAACAAAACCTTAACATAAATATTAAATACATACCAATACCACTCACCAGGAAGTTAAAACTCTCCTACAAAACACTTAAACTATACATAGTTTGATGTGGTTGTCATGGTATTTTACGTAATTCTAAAGTCTAGTAGTTGTCCAAAATGTTTTGGTTTAGTAAATAGGCAATCCATTTAATTTTTGATCCATAATGCTTTGGTTTGTTGTGCACATGGAAATAAAATAGGGAATTACGAAAGTTTGATTTGGTCGGTTGCATGGAAGTATAAATAATTTTGTATATTAGGTGTATCATTAATTGGTTTCATTGGTTAGTAGTGTTGAAACCAAACCAAACCACCTACACCAAATAAGCTAAATTGTTTAACCAAACCAAAGCAATTATCTAAATTAACCAAACCAAATTAACCAAATGCTACCAGTCAATATGGTTATCACGGTAACCAATCCGTTTCAACACCCCTAGCAAGTATACCAATTGCCAAGCATGTGAATAATGCCACCACAGCTAGGTTGTCAAACCGGTTTATACCGTTGTGCCGGTTTGGCAAGTGGAATGGTACGACCGGTGGTATAACCAGTTTGTGCCGGTTCATGGCGGTTAAAAAAAATGTGAAAACAATTAATATCTAATGTATTTAATCATATATAAAACATATTTGTGGACAATTTAGTTACAATCCAACAAATATCATCAACTTTTAGCTATTACATTCATAAAATGAATAATAAATTAATTTTTTTATTCATTATGTTCATTAAAATGATGTCATTTTACTTAAAATGCATAAGTCGATCATACCGGTCATACTAGTGGTGTCATGCCGGTTTCATGACCGGCACAAGTTGAACCAGATTCAACCACAGTGATGTGTGGTTGTGATTCTTCCAAAAGTGATTCATGCCTTATGACGTATAAAATTAACTCCAAATATTATTATGTCTATCAATCTTAATCAGGATAACTGTTAGATTGAACATCCATGTAACAGAATGGCTAAAAAGAAAATGTCGTGCAACAAGTTGAAAATTTAATTTAATTTATGAGATGACTTTCCGTGGTTAATAGTGACAGGTTGGTTGGGTTTTGGTCTCAAATTAACCTACCTGTTTACTTGCGAGTTGGTATAATTGTGAACCGTTATCTAGTCGTATTCTTCTGCGACTCGGGTTGGGTGGGTGGCGGATGAGTTCGGTTGGGTCATGGGTTAACCGGCAAAGCGATTCTCCAACTAGCCATTAAGTAAGTCGACTAACATTTATAATAAGTTCCTAACAAATTAGTAAGACCATATAAATTTAGACACTTCCCACTTTTTCTCATGTGAGTCCATGTAATACTTGCAACAAAATTTTTATTACTCTATCAATCAATTGCGTAGAGAAAATTTACGTTTTTGCCATTTTTTATACAATTAATAGTTTATAGTTTGCATCCCAATATCTCATGGATATTAACCAATAATTTGCATCATAATAACTGATGTCTTCGCTTTTGTAAGTAGATGGTTAGTGTGTAGTGCGGTTTGGAAATATGAAGAATACTCAATAGTATAAGAAACAACATTTTTAATGTGATAATAGGGTTCGAATCATTCGGGTGACCCGCAATCCACCCACCACCCACCTGCATAAGTGGGGTTAGGAGATTTATCAATCCATAATCCACCCACATCAATCATCCACTGCTTACGGCTCGAATTATTTACGGGTGGATCGATATCAACCAGCGAATTAACCACCATGTGCCATTAATAGTTTGTGGTGTCTACCATCAATAGTTCGTTAGTTTCAAGCTTTCACTCGACATATTCTCAAAGTACTTACTCCTTATACTATGTAATGTCAATGTAGTTCAGTCGTTCAGTAATCTCTAACTCTAACCTTGAGGAGTATATAGCAAGTTTCTTGGTCGAAGTGAATGCTTCATAAAAGCCAAGTACTGGGAGCGGTAGAAGCGTGAAAGAAGTGCTTAATTCAGACCACTTGACATGTTAAAATTAATAGTCTTGTATAATGTAGTCAAAATCGCGTTTTAAAGTTTAAATACTTACGCTATCTTACGAAGTGAATGCTTCATAAAAGCCAAGTACTGGGAGCGGTAGAAGCGTGAAAGAAGTGCTTAATTCAGACCACTTGACATATTAAAATTAATAGTCTTGTATAATGTAGTCAAAATCGCGTTTTTAAAGTTTAAATACTTACGCTATCTTACGATTTTATCCTTCCAAAAGTAGCCCCTGTCTACAACCTTCCATATTTAATTCCGATGGTGATGAAATCATAAATATGCTCAAGATCAACATCAAAAGTGGGAGACTCATTATAGCTGAATCGATGCGGATCATGTATGGCACATAATGTCAAGTTACTTGTTTTTCACAGGCTATATGAGACATGCTAGAACGCTTTTATGTGAGCAATTAATTCAAACTATCATGATCTAGTTAAGGATTGATCGTTCCTGCAAAACGGCAGATGTTGGGCGGTGAATTGAATCAGGCTATCCCTGTGTTTTCAGGACCAAAGAGGAAATAGCTCTACAAGTCTACAACAGTTGAACGAAAACATCACACAACATAGCCTCTCCCACACATGTCCAATGGAGAGGCTAAAAGGTCACCATCATAGCAAAGTAAAATGCAATTTCTTTTCCCAGTATGGTCGACATTTTCCCCAGTGAACTTAGATGGGATGACAAGACAGATAATGGGGAAATGGGAGGAGGCCAATTTCTTCTTCTTCATCTTCTTCTTCCTCCACCGCCTCTAGTTACCGTTTTCGCTGTGCACGTTGGCGCCATTTAAAACTTGCTGCAAACAACAATTCAAACCATGCTCCAACAATCAAATCATGAATCCTTGTGTTCTATCAGACAAAGGACATGACTTGCAGGCAAACAATTTAATCACCTTAAAGCACGAGAGCGTGTACTGCACATCAGTTTCTGAGATTTGATGGTGAATGACAATCCTTATGCTGCAAGGAATGAGAAAAGGTTATAACATGTTTGATGATTCAACAGAAACTAGGAATCACAGACTGCCGAGCTTGATTAAAACCAGACCTGTACGGACCCTCTAACATCACGACCACGCCATGTTGCTGCAAGTTCTTGTACAGCTTTTCTGCTGTGAGGTTGGAGCTCTCCTCTAAATCGACATATATCTGTTCAGCAGATAATGGAGGCATGTGTTACAACCACGGAAAATTCAACATTAGAAACAACTTACTAGGATCTAAATGAAGGGCAGAGAAAGGCCACCCACGATGTTTGTTTCTACAGTGGAGACATTCACTTTCAGTCCGTTGATTTCATTAAGCCCAACTGAGGAATGAAAACAAAGGAAGAAAAATCCTCAAATAAGTTCATAATATTCCAAGAGACAAGGAGGGCCTGAAAATATTTTTCGTACGAACATCAATTTGAAGTATGCACCAGCTAGTGTCTTCGCATTCTTGTGATCATTCTCTAGCTTTGCAACATTGTTTTGAACTGCAAATAATGCAGCAGAGCAAAGGATGCCGACCTGTCTCATCCCGCCACCTAGAGCTTTCCTGAGAATCTTAGCCTGAAAACAACATGACAATTTATGTCATGTTTCAATGACTATACTCAAAGCTTTGAGGCTCCCCACTCTGTGATGCGGGCAGGGTACCTTTGAAATGAAGCTTTCTGAACCTACAATAACAGATCCAACCGGTGCTCCCAAACCCTTTGATAAGCAAATCTGGTTCAATGCACAGAAGCAACATATCAGCCATCAGAGTTCTGATCAACAACAGATTAAACAAATGTATTTTTGTTGTTGTTGATCATACCGAAACTGAGTCTGCTGCCTGTACAAGCCTATGAACAGGAACTCCCAGAGCCTTCAAATTGATCATATATAAAATACGTAGTGAAAAGCAATCCATACCAATTTATGAGAACAAACAGTCAGTAAGTCTGTTCAAGTTGGTGCCATACGTTGATTCTTGAAACATCAGTAATGAGCTTGAAACAAAATAGCATTTGCTGCAATCTCCTTTCCTAAATTCTACCATCCACCAAATGTGTTGATTAATCAAGCAAACCAAGTAGCCAGCATTATACTTACAACTGATGCATTAAAAATGCGAGCCCCGTCAATGTGAAGCTTCAGCCCATGCTTCTTTGCCAATTCTCCTACTTGGTCTGTGTACTCCACAGATAGGCATCTCCCGCCAGTGCTGAAAATCATAAATCCCAAATTAACATCGAAAACCATTCATCCAATTTATGGAACAGTAATAAAAATGTACAACAACAAAAAACTTACTTGGCATGTGAATTCTCCAAACAGATGAGCCTGGTAGTTGGATAAACAAGCTGCCCTCTCGGGTCTCTTATCTTGGCCTCAATCACATCTATATCCATAGTTCCATCCTCATTGTTCTTTACTGTCCTTGGATGGACACCTCCAATCGTTGCGATACCGCCATTCTCGTAAATGTGGATGTGGGAATTGTCTCCTAGAATTACTTCACTCCCCCTGACATCGCAATGCACAAGCACACTAATGAGGTTGCCCATCGTCCCGGATGGAACAAATAACGCGGCTTCCTTGCCCGTAATTCTCGCCATCTCGGTCTCCAACCTCAAGGCGCTTGGGTCGTTCCCTAGAACATTGTCATCAACCTCAGCATTTGCCATTGCAGCTCTCATCGCCTCGCAAGGCTTGGTGACAGTATCCGACCGGAGATCAACTGTTCTTGTTACCATGTTTGGTGGAGGTATGTCCAGACAGGAGAAAACTGAATTGACAAAGAAAGGAATCAGGAAACAATTCATGCACCACAACTTTTCAGGAGCGGAAACGAAACCAAAATCTCTTACAGTGCTGTTTTTCTGCTACCATTTTCAGACAAAACGACTGAGAAATGATTTTGTTTGTTACTCAACGAAACCCCAAATCAAGCCAAGAAGCAAACACAATGTCGATCACAGCAAAGAGAAAAATAGGGAAGGAAGAGACGGGTCTTTAATGTGACGATCTCCAACATGTGAAATCTCGGGCAAAAGAAAGGGCAAAGAAAGAAGAAAAGGAATCAAAGAGCAAATTAAAGCATGTAGAGGCCTAATTCTGATGTTACTTATTCTTCCACAAACAGACTCTTGGTTTCCTAGATTCCCTCCAATGAGAACTGGTCTTATGGAGATTCAACCGAGTTTACTATTATTCACAGCAAGATAGGCACTATAAATTACAAAAGGCAGAAAACAGGAATAGGAAAGGGTCGAAGGTTCAAACCTCTGAAGCCTTCTAATCAACTGTATCCAGCCCCAAAAAGATCAACGATTTCTGGGAATTCGATCGAATCAAGTGGCTGCCAAGCTGCTTAGAACCTGCATGCATCAAGAATAACACAGAATTCAGCACTGACAAAGAAACCCAGAAACCCTGTTGCCTAGAATTTGCATGCAGGAGAGGTTGAGAACAGGAAAACCAAACCAGAGCGAGAGAAAAACAAAATCTTACGGACCCAAACAGGCTAGACTGGAAAATGATTATAAGGAGAAATCCAGTTGATTTAATCACTGTGAAATGGACTTGAATGGAAGAAATCGCAGTTTGGGGGATTTCGCGGAAGGGCGCCCCAGGAGAGAAAATCCAAAGACAGCGCCAAACTATTCCCTAGTGAGTCAGAAACCAACATGAACAATTACAAAACAAAAACTTTCCGTGAGGCTTTTGGGTAAAGCGTGCAAAAAGTGTTTTGTTGCTCAGCCAAAATTTTGTCCACTTGGCCTTTGCTAGAGCCCTGTGCCATCACGGCTCTGCATGCAGTGGTCGAAAAACTTTCAGAGGAAAGGTGATTAGGTGAACGAAAGTCGAGACGGTTAGAATAATAATGATTTTTGGAACTTGTGGAGTGTTTTTATGATATTTTCTTTATATTTTAGGAAATATGATTTTTATCTGTTTAGCCAACTTATGGGTAATTATATAAATGGTCATAAACCTATTCACGTTGTACAAAACGGTCACAATCCTTTAATTTTGCACGTTTTGGTAAAATAAGTTTGAGTGAATAACGAATTGGTCAATCCGTCCACTTCCGTCCAAAACTCCGTTATCTTTTGCCCAATCAGCATGACATGTCATTAAAATATTAATAAAAAAATAAGTTAATCATCCTAATTAACACCACACAACCCAACCGGCCGTACCCAAAGTCTTCCCTTTTCCTTCATCTTCTACTTTGATATTCTCCACCGCCCTGTAAATCGCCATTGCTGATGACGAATCCAGCGACAACGACCGCCTCAACCCCTGCAAATCCCCTGCCCCTTCTCTCCCTCGTTCGAACACATCGCTTGGAACCCACGAAAGACTGCTCCTTAATAATACCATCAATCTCTTTGAATGATCTGAAAGGTCCGGTTCATTGCTACTATTGTCACCACTCACCACTACCAAGACTCACTTCACCCTCTCGCTCCTCCTCCGGTGCAGTCATTAGAGTTGTAGGTTCCAAATTCTCTACTGTAGAATTTTCCCCAGAATTGAGATTCATCGATGACCCTACAACAACAGCTTGAACAGCAACAGCTCTGGAATTCGCATCGACGGCAACGATGGGGCGTGGCAGAGTGGGCAATTTTTGTGAGATCTAAGCCAAGTATCGACGCAAGGGATGTGGAAAGCGTGGCTACACTTGGGCAACAACCTCAAGCTTTCGCCTTCTTCAAACTCGCTCAGGCAAACAGAGCAGTCTGTATTGGAACATCGCGATTGATTCGATTTTCGAGTGTTCCACGGTGTGGATGTACCAAATCGGCTGATCAATCACAGGGCCATGATCTTCCGCGATGAAATCGTCCTGTGTAGCAAAACAGTCGACGGATCCCGCCGCCGCCAACTGAAGCTCAAATTCCTACGCTGCCGCCTCGGTCTCCATATTCGAAGAACTAAACAGAAGATTCCTATAAGCAGAACAAAGCCGATCATCGCCCCCGCGACGGTCATGCTCGTGACCAGCAGATTCTTCCGGTTGAAGTGCCCTCCGGTCGGAATCAGGGAGGGAGCGACGGGGAACTTGGTGGGCGGCGCGAAAGAGGCGGCAGAAAGATTAAGGTAGAAGTTGTCATCGTTATCTTCTGGTCCGATCGCCACTCTCTCCCGCAAGTAGCTGACTTTCTCCAATTCGAGGGGGGGGGGGTATTATGATACGGCCGGTTGGGTTGTGCGGGTCAATTGGGTGATGAACTAATTTTTTATTATTAATATTTTCAATGACATGTCATAGTGACTGGGCAATGGATAACGGAGTTTTGGACGGATTGACCAATTCGTTATTCACTCAAACTTATTTTACCAAAACGTGCAAAATTAAAGAATTGTTACCGTTTTGTACAAATTGAATAAGTTTATTACCATTTATGATAATTACCCGCCAACTTATAGACTATAGTTTGTTTGATGAGATTTTAGCATTGTTATAAGCACCGAATTAGTGGTTGGGCAGCCGAAACCGTCAAATTATGATAGCAGTTTGGTTTATTGATTCAACTATTATTAATTGACTAAGCGGTTTATCACGGTTTAACATAAACTAAGACCATCAAACCAGAATTATTAATTTTATTTTTGCTTCCTCTTCTCATTTTTCAACCTTGTTGTCGTATTTACGTGGTCAACTACTGACTAGCACCGTAATTTTTAACTATCAACGGTTCACCAAGGATTTTGTAACGGTTAACCACTGAACTCTAAACCATTAACTTTTCCGGTTCAACATTCGACTCGGTTCTAAAAACAGAGGATTTTAGGTATGTTTTAGAAATTTTGCCTTCTTTTTCGTCTTTTTATGCCATTTTTTAAGTGATTAGCTGTGTTTTTTGGATGTGTGTTTATGGTATGCTTCATGATAGTTTTGATAATGATAATATCTAAAATAAATTAGTAACGCCACACGCATGTTTCCTCTATAATTTTTGAAAATGACAAATGTTTTCATCCGTTTACAAATTCGCATTAATTGTGAAACCATTAGAAATAAAACAATTTATCAAAACTAAATGTTCATGTTAGCTAGAGCTATTGTTAGCATCACACTATCAAATTAGATGTTAGCACTAGCACTTTAACATTTGCTCTGCACTATGATGGTGGTAAAAAGTGATATATTTGTTTTTGAAAATTTTCCCATAAATTTGTATATGACAATAAATCATGGTAAACTTGTTCCTTCTTTACAAAAAAATTCAAATTTGAGTTAAAAACAAAAGTGATTCATAGTGACACCAGTTCGTAACATAGAGGTATGAAAAAAATTCTTGAAATATATTTAAAATATATATCGTTTGGTAGATCACAAACTCATCGCATGAGTGTAAAAAATCTAAAATTCGAGTTAAAACAAACAAAATATAAACCGATTAAAAAAGTAAGAAAATTCTCACGTTGCTTTGAGGTGGTGGAAGTATGTTGAAACTAGAAGGAGTTATAGCCTCCAACTCCTGAAATATATGTAAAATTACATATAAAATTCTTAACAAATATTGAAAATAGAGTTGTCATTAAAGTCTTAGCCCCTCCTCAATTGAACTGTTCAATCTGAGCCTAATAATTTTACAAAATCAATGAATAAGGATTATTGTGCCGAATTGTGTGTTACTTTATGTCTTTCGTTCGGATAATTGCAACATTTTAACTTAAAACCATCCCAGGCGATTCAACTTGTAAACCTTATTTATTTTCATTTTTCAAATTTATGTTTACCTAATGAACTATGATTTTTGTGTTAAGTTTTTAGAGATCATGATTGAACAAACTCTATCACTAATAGATTTTAATGTCTATTGATTCAGGATTTGCTTGATGCATCTTAACTAATTGTATTCACCACCACTATTAAGAGTGAGTTGCTTGGATGTATTTGTACAAGATGTTATTAATCTAAGTTGTATCATATTATATCATATTATAATTTTATGTTTCGTGTGAAATAATATTGTAAATCACAAGTTTAAATTTTTATTCGGTCCATTCGTGTCGGAGTCCGATTGCGGGTTGTTGGGAGTATTTGTGAAGTCAATGTTGTTTATCTCAATGTTATGTCATTTAAATTGCATCTCATTGTATGAGTTATAATGATAAGAGTAGTAGTTTAACTTTGATTTAAGTATAATATATCATTTACTAATGCATTTTTATTAATTTTTTTTTCTTAAACACTCCCAAGTACTTTGAAAAAATTTGCACATATGTCCTACTATTAAAATTTCCAAATAAACCCATCAAACATGATCAAATCGTGCTTTGAGCAATAAACATGTCCAAAATACATCTAATAATTTTACTTTAATACATTTTTTGATCTCTTTCTGTATAGACAATACAGTGGCGGACGCATGAATTTTATTTAGGAGTGTCCTCTTCCAAAAATTAAATTAAAAACCTTAAATAATAAAATATCTGACTAGTACAAGTTATTACAAAATACTACGACGTGTTTTCATATTCTGAAAAATTGTAAATACATTCTAGGTCCACAGTACTCAACAAATCTCTTTCAATATATCCTACTAAACAAGCATTTATGAACCAATAACATATTTTCTTTGGAAACTTGTACTTGATGTAACCCAAAGATGAAAAATTCACTTTCATTATCTGTAATAATTTTCCCAATTGTTTCACATGACATGGCATGAGCATTCTTTTTTGCATCTCTGGAGAGATAAATTGGAGGTTTCTTGGAGCATTCTTTCCAATCATACTTTGCACATCTAATGTTAGAGTAGTCAAAGAGTAAAGGAAATATCATATTGGTGCGAGAAGGAAAGTGCAAGTTGTTTTTAAGTTTTCTTTCCACTTTAGTTATTGGATAAAGTGGTTAGTTGGCTTTTGGAAAAAGTGTGGGCTATTTAATTTGACATATTAAACCGCACTACGCATTTTGCACGTTTGCGCGACGCGTTCGGATTTGAATTTTTGGCTAATTAATTACCGAAATTATTTTAATTAATTAATCCGGATAATTATTTGATTTTGAATTTTGTGAAACGACGTCACCCTTCGGAAGGGAACTGCCGTTTTCACTATAAAAATTTCTGCAGCCGAACTTCTGTCAAAACGTTCATCTTCTTCTCCTCGTTTTTCCTTCTCCAAAAACACAAACACAAAAGTCACGAAAGGTGCTGCTTTCTGACTTTGATTGGAGGGACTCCTGGGGGTGGTTTGCCTAAATCCTACTAGCAACAAAGTAGTGGGGGCAAATAAACACTCTAAGGAGAGTGATCTAATCACGCCTTCAATCGTTCTCTTCCATACTGTTTCCCTGACATCTTCTTTACCAAGAGCATGAAAGTCTAACAGTTGAAGAAAGTTATCTTTGTTGTTGAAGATGCATATTCATTATCCAATCGAAATGACAATCTATTCACTACTAGTCACCAAATGGAGGGGTAAAACTAGTATTCCTCCATTTTGTTGAGTGTCTTCCGAACAATGGTTTGATTGTGATTGACAATTTTTTAATGTAAATTTTAATAGAATGACATGTTTGATTTCTTCCTAAAGTATAGAGGTAATTTTTATATGCAAAATAGTTGAAGGATATGTTTAATAAAAATGTACACTAGAGAGGCATATTATATACCTATAAACTTTTAAATTTCTATTCCGTGCATTTGTGATATAGGAATCCATTATAACTATCCAAGTGCTAAAGCCTGGCTGTATTTGTACATTGATTTAATTTATCTTGGTTTTCTGCTATTTAAATTTGGATTTATAAAAGTACTAGTTTATAATTTTTATTCAATGCATCGATCGATGCTGCAAGTTGTGTTCAGAAAGTGATAAAAGATTAATACTAATCAATTTGATAGAAGGTGAAAAGGATTTATACAAATCATTTTGATCAGCACTTCTACTATGCTATAAAGTATTGGTGCTTTAATGTACAACTTAAAGTTGTACCATAACGTTAAATGTATAATTTCAGGTTGTGCCATAAAAGAATTTGTGTTCTTATGTTATGGTACAACTTTATAACTTAAACTTGTACCATCAAATGAAAGTACAAGTTTAAGTTGTACCATAAAACAATTTGAAAAAAGAGTATAGGTACAATATGAAGTTGTACCATAACGTTAAAGATACAACTTCAAGTTGTACCATAAAGGGAAAGACCTATAGCACCAATGCTATATAGTATTGTAAAATTCCTCCATTTTAATAGGGTGAGTTGACGATTAATGATTTAGGATTGATGGAAAATGATATGAATGATGTTGGGTATAGGAAACTTTTGTTTTAGTTGTGTGGATTTGATGGTATTTAGTGGGCTAGTGGCTGCTTTTACAAATGTGAAGATTCCCATATTGGAATGACAATGACTGAATGTTACGTTCGCTTTACACTTATTTAATTTAAATTTTCTGGATTAATGCGTGGAAAAAATCCAAAAGTACCATTGTTTAAAAAAAAATTCAAAAATACCACCCAACCCCAAAAAATTCCAAAAATACCATCATTTTTCAAAAACTGTCACCCCATTTTGCGGTTTACACGAAAACCGTTTGTCGGGGGCGCGGTTTTCGTTTGCGTGCCTAGGGGGCGGTTATATAAAAAAAAATTTGGACCAAACCGCTGGGTGGGGTGGCGGTTTGGCCCAAAACCGCCACCCCACCAGCGGTTTGGTCCAAATTTTTTTTTCCGATCAACTCCGAACTTCGGCCGAAACTTCAAACGAACGTAACTTTGCACTCGGGTATCCGATCGTAGCGATTTTTTTTCATTTCGCATAACTTTTCAAGATCTACAACTTTTACTAGGATGAAATTTTCAAAACAGGAACTATTTGTGGATATACGGGATCTTGGGAATAACTTTACCTTTACTTTTCACAAATCCATGTACATTTTGAAATTATAATTATATTAAAAGTTGTAGATCTTGAAAAGTTATGTGGAATCAAAAAATAATTCATGACATTCGGATTTTGGAGCACAAAGTTATGGTCGCCCAAAGTTTGACGAAATAAAAAAAAAGGCTCGTTCGGGGTGACAAATGACGTTTTTTCGAGACGAAAGCGGGACCCGACAGTTTGCGGCTTGCAAGATCTCAAAAAGTTATTCGGATTCAAAAAATGGAGGCCGCAAACTTTTTGAGATCTTGTAATAGATGCCCTTAAAGTTTACTCTTTAGTTTAAAATTCAACACGCTCACTACAAAATATTTGAATTAGCCTGTTAACTATGGATAAGTAACTAATATTAAAAGCCTTAGAAATTTTTTGTTAGATAAAATCAGCAGTTTTCCTATGTGTATCAGCAATTTCTTTTTATATATATATATTAATTATAGACCCAGACTCTAAAATTAATTAAATAAAACTAATACAAACGTTTCTAATTGGTCGAACTACATATATTGGCCAGATTATTAAGAGTTTACTATACTTCCGTAATAAGCCGGTCTTCACCGTAGCAAATGCTAGTGTATATATGGCGTATAATATATGTCTCGTATAATATATATCTGTGCTTACACATATTATATGTATTTTTCATAAATTAAAATTGTCGGTAATTATTTTTTATGAAAGTGATTTTAGGGTTTGGGTTTAGAATATTATGGAGTGGGATTCACTCGTTAGAGATTAAGGTATAATAATATACCTCGAACTCCAATGAATTCATGGTCTAAATAACAAAGCTGACTAGACATGTGGTAAAAATAGATACTGATTTTTATCATATCCAGTAGGTGCCGAAAACAGTGTGGTCCAGACTAGACCATACCATATATACGATTTGTTGGTCAGACCGATATGTTAGAGCACAGACCATGGACCATATATTATACGGTCCAAACCAGACCACGCCTATACGGTGCGGTCCGATACCGTCTGGATCAAACAAACCATGTTTAGTAAAACTTCACTCTTCTCCAATCCTCTTCGATGCCCATAAATATAAAAGGTTTAGTGCAAAATATACTAGTGAAACAAAAAATTAGTGATGTAATTAACCCACGAAGAAATATGGGGAGAGAGTGTACTTTTTTCGATTTCTTACTCCTACTCCTATCTCTACTACTCAATCCACTATTCACTTAAAATAAAAACACAACAAATAACTTCTCTCCCTCTTCGAGGTGGTCTAAAAGGTTCTGCACTCAATCCCCACCATGAAGAAGTCGAGATAATTTTGAACCACTAGGTCAGCTGCTTCGCTCGACAGAATCTCTTATTTCACTCGGATAAATAAATTTGTTCTGCATTTCTATATAATCGACTCCGGATTCTAGACATGGATAGTTGAGATGATTTTTCCATCTATTCTTGTTTTTGTGTGGTTTTTTTATTAGGAGATAGCACAATAGAGATCACTTGAGCAGTCTGTTGGTTTCCAGTTGGATGAAGAATCAATAAATTTGTTGTACTTATGCATAAAATAAAAGGTTTAATGCCAAATATACTAGTGAAACAAAAATTTAGTGATGCAATTAACTCACGAAGAAATATGTGGAGAGAAGTGTACTTTTTTCGATTTCTTACTCCTATTCCAATCTCCACTACTCTATCCACTATTCACATAAAATAAAAACATAACAAATAACTTTGTCTCCCTCTTCCTCTTTGTGTTATCGCTTCTCTCCATCTTCCATGTGGTCTAAAAGGTTCTCGCACTCAATCCCCACCACGAAGAAGTCGAGATCATTTTGAACCACTAGGTTGGCCGCTTCGCTAGACAAAATTTCTCTTATTTCACTTAGGTAAATAAATTTGTTCTGCATTTCTATATAATCGACTCCAGATTCTAGACATAGACAGTTGAGATGATTTTCCCATATATTCTTGTTTTTGTGTGGTTCTTTTATGAGGAGATAACCATGGTTCAGGAAACCGTAACCGAAGTCATACCAGACTCGTCTGTGGTAGGATAGTTTGTGGTACAATTGTGGTTCAACCGTTTTGTACCGGTAAAATACAATATTTGTAATTAAAAAATATATTTTTATTAAAAAACCGTACCGACAGATTCAGGATACCGTTTCAGAGTAATACTGAAATATACCAGATACCAAACCTGAATTAACTAAATATGCATAGGTAATATAACAATCAACAAAGTGCAACATTACTGAATAAACTACATATTGTTCAAATGCACGTTTAGGATCGAGTACAAAACAACCAAACAACATTCTCAACATATATTTCTATCATTGCCTGCCACACTTCCTTACCTAATTTGACTTTTGAGGATGATTAATTGTCGCTGGGTTTGGGATGGAATCGAGCTTGGCCTATGTCTCTATGATGCGGCGTTTTTGAGCAGGGGAGGGAGACTCGAGCAGGGATCGATGCGACTGAGGATAAGAGAAGAGGAGCGGCAAAGTGGAGCAGGGATCAGCTCGACCTTTCGTCGGTCGCGGGTCGCCAGAGAAGAAGGGAAGAGGAACGACGGAGCGACGGAGCAGGGATGTAGCTGCTGTCATCAACTTGATGGACTAGCTAGGTACTTGATTGAACCATTAACATTTTCCATTTTCCCTACTAATGCTTGCTGCTGAGTTTTGTGTTAAAATAGTGAACATACCTTGACTATGTCATACTGTATATTCTTGTACATTAGTCAATAGTTTATGAATTAGTGGTGAATGATGTTCTGTTGGTCTGCTGGTAGGATGATGTGTTGCTGCCTGCTGGTCTGCTGATGATGGCAAAGGTCTGCTGGTCTGCTGATGATGACAAAGGCCTGCTGGTGTGTTGCTGCCTGCGGGTGTGCTGATGAAGATGGATTTTGATAGCTCGGATTTCAGACTATTTTTATCTGCGTTAAACATAGTTGCCTAGAGTACTACTATCTCGGCTTTTGAACTACCAGACTTGCATTTGTGGTTATGTTTTGAGCTTTGTTAGCTCGGCTTTCTGTTCTTGTTAGCTGAGATTTTGATACAGTTATTCTGGGTTTATCATGGTTATATTTCTGGATTTTAGACAAGTTGAGGGTTTGTAAGTTCGTGGTTACAGTTATGCATTGTTAGCTCGGCTTTATTTCATTGTTAGCTTAATACAGTGATGTATAATTAGATAGTTTCATGTCATAAATGTTTTGGTTAAGGGAATGGTTTATATGTTGGCGGGCAGCCCGTGACCCGTGGATTCACCGAAATCCGGATGGGCTTGGGCTTGGTCCAGATTCTGTGCCCATTTGGCTTAGTGGGGCGGTGATGGGTAAACCCGCGGGCATAAATGGCGGGTAGTGGATATAGGGTATCCGCACCGTATCCGACCCATTGCCATCCCTACAATTAAATCGCCAATATTAAAAAAAAATTATAATAGAATACCAATTTCTTGACATGCCATATAATATAGGAATAGTTTGAGGAAAATTGTGACATACAAAAACAAGACATGCCCGGATTGATTAATAAGAAAATCGCATTTGTTCATTAATGATCATGTTTGAGTTTGAGTTTGAATTTTATCAAAATTCACTAAAAATATTTTCAGTTCAAATTTCACCCTATCTAATCGGGTTAAAACAAGCATCTAAACTTCAAATATATTGAAGGAACTGCATCACTAGGATCAGTTAACGCCAGACATATTGGGAAAGAATATAAGACCATGTGCATTTTCATTCTATAACAGATTCTTGGGTTGAAAGCTGAGAAGCTAATTAAGTATTTATTCGCCAACCAAACAAACGAACTTCGAGAGCTCCTCCTTGTCCCGACCCACTCTACTCACATTGAATGGAAACAGAGCAATCCACCCTAAGAAACAAAAACAGAGTACTCTGCCCCCGCCACAACCACAACCACCGCCATCGCTGTCTCTCCAACTACCACAACTCTTTCTGGCACCATACGAAAATGCTATTAATTGTTGTATTTGTGGATGTTACTTGGCATCTTAGAGATTAAACGTCATAATATCTAATACATTTTGGATTCCAACCAAAGCGTCATCATCGATACAGAACAAAAAAGAATAGTTTGGGAACATACCTTAATCCGATCCAACTTCAGGGAGGGAGATCGAGAAAGGAGGTTCTACTTCTTCTTCTTTTTTCGGAGTAGATCTATGGAAGCTTGAAGGGTTTGGCTTTTGCTAATGTATATGTATATATAGGCAGACATCACTTTGCGAGTATGGAGAAAGATGGCATATTGAGGTGGTGCTGAGGTGGGAGCATTATCTAGTAAGAACATAGGATGATGGGTCGTGTTTGGTTTCTCGTTCTGCCAGAGTTTAGTTGGTCTCTTATCTTTTATCTCTATAGTTGTAGACAATGAATTTGTTAATATCCAACATGTCTAAATTATGGAGTCCGGTTAGATCATCACCAACGTGGAGGGAAATTTTTTTCCCCTTCTGGGTTTTAATTAAAAATAGGGTGAATGTGAAGAAAAATCCAAAGAGTGAGAACGGAGGGTTAGTGTTCAACTTGGAAAAAAATAAAATGTGAGAAAGGCAAGCAAAGAAAGAAAACCACGCACTAACCACGTCATTTTTTAAATAAATCTTTTTTATCTAAAGCAAATAACTTTTTATTTTGATTGCATTTTATTAATGATAACATCATATTTAATTAGTAACAAAAAAATATGTTGAAATTAAAAATATTATATCTGACCGTTCAAATTAATTAGTACTGTTTATACTTTATACAAAAATAATGATATAATTATCTAAGTTAAGTGACGACATGACATGACCACTAAATTGGATTCTTCCAAAACCCAATTGACAAACCACATTTCATCTACCTCATTATGCTCTCCCTTAGGGTGAGTAAAAAGAATAACACAATAGGAATGCTTTGGTTTATAATCTCTTTAACTTATTTTGACAAATATTTATAAAAAAAAAACTAAACTAGACATATATTGAAACAAATCGCAATTTTCAAAATCCAAACAATACTTATGCAATTTGATACTTTTCACCTAGATTTATTCAAAATTTTAAGTAGTTAGATAATATTTTTTTTATTGGGTTGGACTTTTACTTAAAATTACCACCCACCTAACCTGATCCAATTATAAACAAACCTTAAGGTTCTAAATTTTTTTTGAAGGTTTATAAGTAGTATTTTCAAAACCGTAGTGTATAAATCTAGTGATTAAACTGGTTAAACCAGACCACCCGACACATGCAAACCCCTACTCTCACTTCGTCTGGTCTAAAAAAACCTAAAATTTTCTATTAGGGTGGGAAAAAAGTCGGTCACATCTAGATGAGTAGCATCATTATAGTTTTTTCCCGAATCAGCTTCCTCAAAAATACAATTGGTTTCTATCTTTTCCCCCTTTCAGTGATTATTGGTAGAGATTAACCAAGTGTTTCGGCGTACGACAGGTACGAGACCAATGGCCTTTTCCACCACAACAGTAACACACATTTTCGACGTGTTTGTTACCATGAACGCTTAGTTTTTTTTACAAAAGATAATCATATATAATGATGGAAATGATAGATCATTACATCGTGGAATTTAGCCAGGCCAAAAAATCAAAGAAACGAAACGTAGCCGGGTACAATGAAAGGGCATTTTAGCCACCAAATAGGCTACCCTATTACTACTCCGACCTACAAATCGCACATTAAGCCTAGTGTGAATAGCCAAACAACACAAGATTTCCTCAAGGATGGCCCCTACCCGATAAACATGGGCCTCTGCTTAGTTTATTTCATCAATGATCACTTTTGCATCTCTTTCCAACCTTGTCTCCGCAAAACTGTTCTCCAGACACCACCGAATACCCTCCCAGAGAACCAGGAGCTCGACCACTATAGGATCCTCAATCTCATCAAATTGCACCCCTCTTGCCAAAAGGACCACCCCTTCTTGATTTTTTATAATCATTCCCCCTGCCGAGTGGGACCCACTCTTTGTCGCCCTGTCTTACATGCACACCACTCAACTAACTCGCTTGTGGGATGGATGGCCGCACCACGCTGTCGATAGGTAAACTAATCCACTCCTGATACTGTTGGTGATATTGTCGTATCAAAACTGGGATTCCAAATTGTTTGCCCTCAAAGACAACCCAATTACGTGACCACACTTTGTTCCTTGCCTCTTCTGCCATCATTTTCCACTTCCGAGGAAAATTGAGCTTTTGAAACTTTCACCATGACCATTACTACGATCAAGATCTCGGCCACGGCCTCGAGCATGACCACGCACACGTCCTCGTCCACGTCCATGTTTTGCCAATAAGAATATTAGGTGAACTTCACCGCATTCGCTTATAGGAATGGGGTGGCACCAGTAGGAAGAGATCGGTGATTCTTCATTAAGAGCTGATCATTATTTTGTTCAGCCACAAGGAGACACGAAATCAGCTCATAATATTTTTTGAAACCTTTCTCACGGTATTGCTGCTGCAAGAGCACATTGGATGCATGAAAGGTGGAGAATGTTTTTTCCAACATATCTTCATCAATGATATTTTCTCCACATAACAGTAGTTGTGAGGTTATTTTGAATAGCTCTGAATTATAATCACTCACAAATTTAAAATCTTGTAACCTCAAATGCATCCAATCATAACGAGCCTAAAAAAGATTCACAATTTTTTGGTGGTCATACCGCTCTTTCTAGTTAGTCCATAGAATAAGTGGACCTCTTACCGTAAGATACTCATTCTTCAATCCCTCGTGAAGGTGACGTCGAAGAAAGATCATTGCTTTAGCTTTGTCTTGGTCTGATGCTTCATTACTCTTTTTAATCTTGTCTCCAAGACCGTTGGCAGTTAAATGAATCTCAACATCTAACACCCATTATAGGTAATTCTTCTAGTGACATCAAGAGCCACAAACTCAAGCTTTGGAAGATTCAACATACTATCATAGAAATATATAAATTAAAATTAAAGTCAAAATTCAATAAAAAATATAGATGGTTATCAAGACAAAATACTCATATGGCCCATGATATATGTAAGATAGTAATTTACACTAATACTTCTCATGTGGAAAAAGTATGTCAGATAACGGCTTAATTGCAAGTTTGGTCACTCGAATTGCTATAAAATTTCACATTTGCCACTCAAATTAAGTTTTTCCATTTATAGTCACTCGAATTAGTTGAACAGTTCAAATTCGGTCACTCTCCGTTAACCACAGTTAACTTTGACTGACGTGGCGGTCAACTCTGACAGTTGACCGTTAAATGTGTGACGTGGAAAATAATAAATAATTAAAAAATAAAAATTAAATTTTTAGAAATTACAAATCATTATCACAAAAAATTATAATTATAAAAAATGAAAAAAAAATTATCACACATTTAACGGTCCACATGCAGTATAGTTCGATTCAGGGGGAAATTCCTCCAAGCTTGGGGAACTGCTGGAATTTACTGTCACTGAATCTCGACGGAAACAATCTCGCCGGAGAAATCCCTGGAGAACTTCTGAACATTTCTTCTCTGACCATCTACTTGGGCCTGGCGAATAACAGATTGACAGGCTCCTTGCCAAGACAAGTAGGGACTTTAAGAAATCTCGGATCCGTCGAAATTCCGGCTAACCTCGGAAGCTACGTTAGACTGGAGACGCTTCTGTTGCAGAGAAATTCCTTCCAGGGATCCATCCCCTCGTCTCTCAGTTCGTTAAAGGGTATTCAAGTCTTGAACTTTGCGAACAACAATTTGAATGGGGAAATCCCGGAGTTCATCGGGAGCTTCCAGCCGCTGACGAGCTTGAATCTTTCATTCAACGGATTCCATGGCAGAGTGCCGAATGAAGGCGTGTTCAGAAACTTGACCGCGGCTTCGATTTCGGAGAACTATACGGGGGGGTTTCTGAATTCCGACTGCCTGTTTGCAGCAAATTGAAGGAGAAGAGTAAAGCAAAGAGATTTTCCACTGCCGAGAAAGCCATGATAATTGGAGCTTCCAGCTTGGCCTTGCTTGCTCTGTTTTTATCTCCCCTGTTTCTACTCTGTTTCAAAAAGGAAGAAGAGAGTGGAACCAGATGAAGAAGCTTCACCGAATCGCCTCCCCCAAATGAGTTACCACAGCCTGCGGAAGGCGACTGGAGATTTCTCTCCTCAAAATTTGATCGGAACCGGAAGTTTCGGTTGTGTCTACAAAGGGATAGACCCAAACGACGGTGACAAAATCATAGCCGTTAAAGTTTTAAATCTTCTTCACCCAGCAGCTGCGAAGAGCTTCAGAGCTGAATGCGAGGTTTTGAGGGAAGTCAGGCACAGAAATCTCGTCAAACTATACTGGATGTGGACCGTTAAAAAATATAATTATAATTTCTTTTTTTCATTTTTTATAATTATAATTTTTTATAATGATGTGTAATTTCTAAAAATTTAATTTTTATTTTCTAATTATTTTTTATTTGCCACGTCACACATTTAACGGTCAACTGTCAGAGTTGACCGCCACGTCAGTCAAAGTTAACGGAGGTTAACGGAGAGTGACCGAACTTGAACTGTTCAACTAATTCGAGTGAATATAAATGGAATAACTTAATTTGAGTGGCAAACATGAAATTTTATAGCAATTCGAGTGACCAAACTTGCAATTAAGACGTCAGATAACACTCTGGAAAAAGTTCTTTTTATTAACACAATTTGCATCCTCAAATAAAGCATTCATGCATTGAAAAACAAAATATCGTATGTAAGAAGACAACTAGAAACATGACAATTTAAAAGAAAATATTAGGGAGAATCAAAATACCTTGAGCAGAACAACTATGGATGGACCTTTTGAAAAGAAGAGACTCGTGCTGATAATAGTTAAAAACTAAAGGAGAAGATAAACAACTATGAGATAGTATCGAGAGGGAGAGACACAAAAGAGAGGGAAATAGATCTTTCTTATTCATTTGTTTCTTGGTACAAGAAAATCCTCTATTTATATGCACACATCACATAACCTCTACACTCTTACAATCAATATACATGAATTTGAGCAATTAATGGGAAATTGAAATGGGGTGAGGGGTTACATATAACACCCAATAGTGCATCTAATATGGTCAATGGTTATCTATATATGAATATCTACATAATATTAGGGTTATTATTAGGGTTTTTAGTTTTTCTTTATAAGTATGTGTTTTGTGTTTACGTCATAATGAATTAAGAAAGAACAATATTGAAAATTTCTAATCTCGTATATATTATTCTTCGCTTTATTCTTTCCAATTTCTTCCTAAATCCTCCTCAATCTCAAACCCTACCTTTTTTTCTTAATTCCCCAAATCACTCTATTTCTTACAACTATATATGATTCAGTCGCTTACATTTCGCGGCGAATAAAAAATAATATTGTAATTGTGTTGTATGAAAAAATTAACAAAATATAATGCATAAGATATAACTGTTTAAGTAGGAAAAAAAACCACAAAGATATTATGGGAGAACTCTATAGCAATTTGCACTTCATGGCCAATAAGATTACGGATTAGAGGAAGATCTACATATTTGGAGTTTGACAATAATTATAAAGTTTATGTTTTTGAAATGGAAAAGAACAAAAAGAAAAAAGACAGAATAAGGTAACATTTTATTTCATTGGTTCTAAGACCCGGAGAACAAAATTTAGAGGTGGTGAACAAAAAAGAGAGGCGCTCTCCCCTCTCTCCTCTGGCTGTGTTCGCTGCTTGGGCGGTGGGTCTCTCGGGCCACCGTCGCTGTTTACGAGTCCAGTTGGCGGAATCAGAACAAGGGATCTTGGGACAAAGAATAATCTCTGGCTTGTACCCAGGCTATGGGAAAGTACGGAAGCCCAATCAAGATTGAGATAGGTGGCCACCTCCTTGCGAGCCCGATGCTGGAAAAAGCTGCTCGGTGGGTGGAATTGCGCAAAGAACGGCGGTGCCGCCCGAGGAAGCGAATGCGTCTGTCTGCTTCGGCGAAGTTGGGGACATAAGCTGGAGAATCTATGGAGGTTCTGGCTCCCCCACTCGTCAGAGTTGGATGGAGAGGAACCTGTCCTAGCCCCGCTCGCGGGGAGTAATACCCAGAAATCAGAAGTAACGATTGAACACCCTGCTCCTTGTGAAAACCCAAGTCCATCGGTTCCCCTCGGGGAAGGGAGTTGTCAGCGAAATCTAAAGCAGGGGGAACAACAGATTGGAAAACCCCCTTGGGGGATTTAGCCCCTTGCGTGTCGCCAAGCAATTGGCAGCCGACGATTCAATTAAGTTTATCCATTCCCAGCGCTGCCGTTGAAAAGAGGGATGGCGAGTCTGGGGTCGCCGATTTCCGGCTTCGGCTGGTGTGGCCGCGGAGGAGTAGAACAGTTTCGGGTGGGTTGGTTCCTGAGATCCCGGGTTTGTTGAACGGGATTCTCGGGCAAAGTATCCGCGTTAAAAATAAAAAAATTATCCCGCGCCAGAGGTCTCCGATCCTAATACAATTCTAATTGGTGACAGTCACGGTGGTACACGACTCCTCCTGGGGCTCACGGGTCTTCTACCCTATAAAAATGCTCAGCCAACCGATAATTTGCCATTGTGCAGTGACCGATCGTGGTTGCTTTCTCCTGCGGCGAATTTAGCAGCTACTCCCAGCCAGTAGCGACCTATCCCCGAGATTGAGTCAGGTAAAGGGACTTGGGCTCTCCCCTCTTCCGCGTGGTTTGTTTCGAGAGGCGTCCTTTCCTTCGGGTATGTTCGGTCCCTTTTGCAGATCACGGGGTTGCTGCCGCCGTTGTCTGTGGTGAGGTCGGCGGACCTAGCTGCCTCCTCCTCCCTCGTCTCTGTGGCGAGAGGCCCCCTTGCCCTCGGGCGATTTAATACCAATTTGAAAAAGACTGGGTTGCTGCCGCCGGTCTCTAGTACTGAGTCGGCGAGCCCTTTTGTCTCTACTCCCCGTGTTATTATTGAAAATTCATTTAGTCCCCTTGGCCTGCGGACACCAATCCCTGTGATTAAAAAGACCATACCTATGACATCTAACTATTTATCTCTCCATGCTTGTCAGGTGAATACGATGTCGCGAATTGCTGAGGATCAAGTGGTCGAGTTCTCCCATGAGGAGGTCCAATCTGTGAGGTTTCGCACTTCTAGGACCCTTCTGGGAAGGCTCTTTTCGGAGGCCAAGTTCACCACCGCAGAGTTGAAAGAAGGACTTGTTGAAGCATGGCGGGTGAAAGGAAACCTTAGGGTTTCTCTTACTCAATTTGGCTTATTTGAGGTGGTTCTTCCAAGTGATGAAACAAGGGTGTAGATCCTGAAAAGAACACCCTGGATAGTTAAGGACAGGATTTTCCATCTCCGATCCTGGAGACCATTCATTTCGAGGCTCACCTTCGATGAACTAGCCATTTCCCCCTTTCGAGTTCAACTCTGGAATGTGAAAGATGACTGCTGCACTAAGCAGTTTGGCCGGAAAATGGCAGGTGGGACTATCGGTCAGGTCTTGGAAGCAGATGTTTTTGCGTCAAGAGAGACGGGCGAGAGCTTTGTGAAAGTGAATTCTCTCATTGATTTCACAAAACCTCTGCGGTCCCAACTCATGGCGGTAAGCGAAGAGCTTGGCAATTTCTGGGTAAATCTCAAGTACGAATTCTTACCGACCGTCTGCTTCCACTGTGGGCGCGTGGGGCACTCCAAGCACGATTGTTTTTTTATCCCCCTCCGGATAAAGAACGCTTTGGTCCGCATATGTCAACAAAGAAGCTCGTACGGAAGATATACATGGAGGAGGATAATTATCCTAAGTTTCGAGATACAAGCAAGTCTGTGTGAGTTAACAGGAATGTCCAAATGCAGAACGATGCGAATGCAAGGACTGGCAGGGGTCGAGTGGAGGAGGGACCAAGGGAGCCTGCTGCGCACAAACAGGGTCCATGGGGGTACCATGCTCACAGACTCTGAAGGTCAAGCGAGTAATAAGACACAGCCTAGGCTAGAAGAACCAGCCAATTAGCTGGGTGGAGACCGTAATAGCCCAAAAAGGTTTAGCTTCAAGAAGTCCCCTCGGATTAAGATTGGTGGTGGGGTGAGGCAATCTCAGAGGAAGCTGTCGCCTAGAAAGAGTACCGCTCTGCCTCGACAAGACTCTAAGAGCCGCCAACAGCCTAGTAGGCGCATGAAGCAGGCTTCCCATCACCAGCAGGTGGTCGATCCCGTGGAAGTGATTCTAGAGCAATCTCGAAGGCGTAGACTGATTTTGCAGGAGGAATCTGAGGAGGAGGAGGAGAATGCGGTCCCTGCACCTCAAACGAAGAAGGAGGCTCGGCTGCCGTCCAAGACTATGACCCAGCCAGGGGGCTCGCCACCTCGGGTTCGCCCACACTTGATAAAAGGAGGAGCTAGCTTTCCCCTGCCTATGTCCAACCGGGATGAGGGCGCTACTCCACCTGGTGCTATGCAGGATCTGGAAGATAAGGAGATTGGTGCAACTCTTGATGGTCCCAATTTTGTGGATCACCAGCAGGACTCTGACTCTGATGAAGATCCATCATTGGGGGATCCTCTTTCTTTTGAAATCAAGCGCCGATCACCGGCTGGTGGCTCAATGAAGACCTCCCAAGTCATGAAAGGACGTGTTCATCAAGTGGTGGAGGCTTTTGAAGCGGGGCTTAGCATTGGGCAGGTGGAAGAGTTTCCCTGCAAGGGAGTGAGCTTGAACCTGAATGAATACGGGTCCAATCTGGTGGTCCCATTCATGGAGAATCGTAAATGTGTGCTCGAGGAGGTTGAGGGTGAGGTGGGAGACCCTCCTACCCCGAAGAAGCAATTTATGGAATCAGCGGATGATCTGGAAAGGTGGAGGAAGCCAGCCTCGAGTGGCCCCCAGTCGATAAATGAGGCTTCTGGCCTGGAATGTGAGAGTAATTGGTCCTTCCCTCACCTTCCAAACTGCTTTAGGGCTTGTTCATTCTAATAAACCGGATGTAGTGTTTTTCTCTGAAACACGATCGAGCCGGCGTGTAGTGTCCCGTCGTATGCGGGGTTTAGGTTTTGATAGTTCATTATTTTTTTGTTGATGCATTCGATGCATCGGGTGGGTTAGTAGTCGCTTGGGCCCCCGGAGTTGACACTTCGGTGTTTTTTCATTCCAATTTCTACATTTGTTCGCAAATTAATGAAGGAGATTTTTCTTATTTGGTGTTTTTTTTTTGTTTACATTAGTTGTAATGTTATTGTTCGGGCCAACCAATTGGCTCATTTGCGTGATGTTTGTGCGACTATTCATCACCCCTTTGTGGTCATAGGAGATTCTAACGCTACCCTCCATGAGGGAGAAAAAGATGGGGGTCGGGCTTGGAATGCGGCGCAAGCCATTAGCCTTCGCGATTTTGTTCAGGATTTGGGTCTCCATGACCCAGGCTACCAAGGGGATCAGTTCCCTTGGACCAATAAGCGTGAACGTCTGGATAGGCTCTTTGCTCCCAATCATGGATAGATACTTATCCTGAGACTTTGGTCAAACATTTCACGGATCAGGGGTCGGATCATCGTGCCCTCCTTCTCGCCGATAAGCCTTATACTCGGAGTAGTCGGCCTCTTTTCTGGTTTGATGCTCGTTGGGCGGATAACCCTGAGGTTAGGGCTATGGTCCATTATGTCTGGCAGGAGGAGATACAAGATACCCCTATGTTTCGACTATGGGAGCGCCTAAAGAAACTCCGTCATCTGCTCTATGATTGGAGCAGGGCAGGCACAACTAACTCCCTGCGCAATATCAAGACGCTCAAAGCTGAGATTGATAGGATAAAGTCGATCCATCCGGTGGATTGGGATGCGATCAGGACGCTGGAAACGAAGCTCTCTTGCCAGTGGGAAGCGGAGGAGGTTTTCTGGCAACAGAAATTAACGGTTAAATGGATAAAAAAAAGGAGATCAGAATTCTGACTACTTCCATATCGTCACAAGGGCGCGGCGAAAGAGGAACTTTGTTTCCGGGCTTCGAAATGCGAAGGGTGAATGGGTCACTGAGGAAGTCTGGAAGGCTACTATTGCCACCAACTTTTACCAGACCCTGTTTACTTCGGAAACTCAGGTTCCTAATATGGCTGAGAGGGTGGCGATTCTGCCAATTGCCCATAGTGTTACTCCACAAATGAATGCGCAATTGACAGCGGAGGTTTTGCCTAGTGAGGTTCGGAGTACGGTCTTTTCCATGGGATCGAAGAAGGCCCCGGGATCGGATGGCTTCACCGGAAAGTTTTTTAAAGCTTTCTGGGATATTGTGGGCACTTCGGTGGTAGAAGCAGTAATTTCCTTCTTTACCTTGAGTCGGATGCCGCGGATTTTTAACCATACCTGGCTCACTTTAATCCCTAAAGTGGACTCGGTGGAAACAATTAGACAATTGCGTCCGATTAGCCTCTGCCAGTTTGTTTACAAGGTGATTACCAACATCATGGCTGCACGGCTGGCTAGCTTTCTCCCTGAGATCGTGTCGGAGGGCCAAAATGGTTTTATCAGAGACCGGCAGATTATTGATAACATCCTTATAGGACATGAACTAATGCATTATCTGAAAATTAAAAAGCAAGGGAAGAAGGGGTACATGGCTCTGAAGGTTGACATGGAAAAGGCCTATGATAGAATCGAATGGCTCTTCCTTCTTGCAATTTTGGATAAGATGGGTTTTAGTTCAGTCTAGCAAGGATGGATTCATGAATGTCTTCGATCCTCCTCTTTCTCGGTTCTGATGAATGGTACACCCTTGGGTTATTTCACTTCCTCTAGGGGCCTTCGCCAGGGGGATCCGCTCTCTCCTCTCTTGTTTGTGCTTTGCACGGAGGGGTTTGCCGCCCTTCTCTGGAAGGCGATCACAGAGAAAAAGTTAGAGGGGGTGAAAGTAGCTCCTCGGGCTCCAAGAGTCTCGCATCTGTTTTTCGCGGATGATTCTTACTTATTCTTACGAGGTTCCCTATAGGAGTGCGAGAATTTAATTGAAGTGCTGAATGCATATGAGGAATTGAGTGGCCATCGCGTTAACTTGGAGAAATCGGCGTTGTGTTTTAGCAAGAATATTTACACGCCAGATCAGAAGTTCTTGGACACGATCCTAGGGGTTGGTGCAGTGGGGGTCCACGATAAATATCTGGGGCTTCCCACACTGGTTGCTCGATCCAAAATGGCTACGTTCATATATTTGGAGGAAAAACTCCTAGAGCGGTTTCAGGGGTGGAAGCAAAGGACATTATCGTGGGCGGCGAAGGAAACTTTGACTAAATCCATAGCGTTGGCACTTCCCCTTCATGTTATGTCATGTTTTCGTCTTCCCCTGGCCCTTTGTCGTCTTCTAGATAAACATGTGGCCCGCTTTTGGTGGGGTGCTAAGGAGGGTAGTCCCAAGATTAAATGGGTGTCCTGGCGAAACATGTGCAGGAGTAAGCATGATGGGGGGATGGGATTTTGCCAATTCGAACATTTCAATCAAGCTCTTTTGGCAAAGATAGGTTGGCGTATTCTCAATGAACCTCAATCACTTATTGCCCAGGTTTATAAAGGCAAGTATTTCTCTCAAGGATCTTTCCTGAGCGCGACTTCTAGGTCTCGTCCCTCTTGGGGGTGGCAGAGTATCCTTCATGGGCGTCAGTTATTGGAGATGGGGTTAAGATGGCAGGTTGGAAATGGCCAATCGGTCTCCCTACTCCATTCTAATTGGATTCCTCGGTACCAACTTGATCCGCCATGCTATAATCCACAGATTTTGCCTGAGGGGGGTGATCCTTTGGTGGCAAAGGTTATTTGTGAGGGGAGAGGGAGGTGGTCTGATGAGAAGCTCAGTCAACGGTTTGTGTCTGATAAGCTTCTCTGGCATTTACGGCTGACGAGGTTTTCTTGGTAAAGACGGCTTACCATTTGGCGATCGATTTGGATAGGAGGAGGGGTGGGTGGTGATCCTCGGTTAGCTGGATGGATAAGCCGAGTTGGATTAGAGTGTGGGAGGCGAAGATCCCTCCGAAGTTGAAGGTTTTTGTTTGGAAAATTCTTAATCGAGCTCTTCCGACCACAGAGGCGCTTATTGAGAATAAGGTCCAGGCGCTTCCTCGTTGTCCAGTTTGTTGGGATGGTCCGGAGACGATGGAACACCTGTTCCTTTATTGTCCGGTTGCGCGGGCTCTCTGGGACTACTCAAGGCTGGATTACCGGGGGGAGGGTCTGCATCGGCACACTTTTCCTTTGTTTCTCAAACGTCTATTGGGGCTGATTCATCAACCGTCAGTGGTTATGGTTGTTGTTGCCATCCTTTGGAGGATCTGGCGATCTCGGAATTGGGTAGTCTTTGAAGGCAAGCAATTTGGGATCACGGCGCTCATGCGACAGTTTAACCAGCAGTATGAGGAATGGGTGGGTCTAGATCAGGCTCCTAGGGTGACGATCACAATGATGCAACCTACAACACAAGTGGGTGATTCTCATTTGGTTTGCATGTGGGACGGGGCTACTAAGGATGGGTTGCATTCGGCTGGTGGGATGATTCTTCTTGACCCAGCGCGGACACCCCTTCTGGCTAGAGGGGTTCAGTTCTCCCAAATGGATGATCCTGTCGTGGTGGAATTGCTTGTGCTCAGAGAAGCTATTATTTGGTGTGTGGAACAAGGCTTGTCGGAGGTCCGGTTTGAGGGCGATGCAAAGGTGATTATTGCTAAAATTAATCAAGCCAACACTAGAGATAGCCGGTTGGGTGTGCTGTTCTGGAAGAGATTGGTCATTATTTTCGTACCCAGCCTGGTTTTATTGTGCTTTTTGTAGGTCGGGAGAACAATAGGGTAGCTCATTTGGTAGCTAGGACAGCCCTTTCTTTGTACCCGACTATGAGTCGCTTCTTTGATTTCCAGGCCTGGCTGGTTTCCAGGGTGTAACTGTTTATTTTTTGATCAATACATGATATCTTTTGACAAAAAAAAAAAGGTTCTAAGACACTTCTACCATCTTTGATATGGAGTGAGAGCTTTCTCCGTGGTCCTCATTTTTGAATTCGAGTGAGAGAGATGCGAAAAATGCAAATTCAAATACGGATAAAAAGGTCAATTTCAGTACAATAACAAAAAAAGGAAGCTCAAAGAATAAAAACTCATATTAGAAGATTGTTCCGTGGTTTCCCATTTGAACTCGAGCAAGACAGAGATGAGTAATTATGCAAAACCAAATACAAACAAAGAGATCGATTTTATCACAACAACAAAATACGCTTAATGAATAGTAATACATATTAGAAGATAGCTTAATAAATAATAACGTATATTATGATTTATGAATAAAACGTACGAACAAAGAGATCGATTTCGATACAACAACACCAACAAAATATGCCTAATGAACAATAACTCATAGGGTAAATTACAAGATTGGTCACTGTGAATACTAAAAGGGCTCACGTTCGGTACTAAAAATATTTAATTCCGTTTGTGGTCCTAAAATTAGTTAAATAGTTCAAATTCGCTCACTCTCCGTCTAACTCCGTTAACTTTTGTTTATGTGGCAGACAACTCTTATAGTTGACCGTTAAATGTGTGACATGACACTTAAAAATAATATAATAAATAAAATTTAATTTTCTAAAATTTATAGGTCATTATTTGCAACTATTAAAAAATAAAAATAAAAATAATGTTTTTAGTTCTCGCCGTCGTATTGCTGGGCAGCAGAATGGTGGTCGCCAATGAGGGGAGGAATTCGGTTCCCGTTCAGGACGCGTCTTCCTCACCCAAAATCTAGTATATAACAAGCTTTCCACAGCCCACCAAATCCGGCAGCCTCAAGAATGTTATCCACTGCTGGAGTCGTACATCAGTTTCTTTTTCTTTTCCCCTCTGCAACATAGATTGCTTCTTCCCGACTCTTTGCATATTTCTCTCAACGCAAAATCCAAATATGAATTTTGATGAATTAAATGTCTCTTCTTTTTCAGAAGATTGTTTCTTGGTTTCCGTCGCCGGAGACAGAGGAATCTCATTTCCTTCATTCTATATATAGAAAACTCAAAACAGAGCACACTAGAAAAAGACAGAGTGCTTGCAAGAAAGGGGAGCCTATCTGACGATGATTCTGTGTCGCGTTCACATCTCCTGTAGTGACGCCGGCGTTGATTTCATCCACGCCAAATCCGGCCACCTCTTGCTCCATGACATTTTTACTTCAGGGGACGTCGCTGAATATGTCAAAGAAATTTTCCTGTTCGAAAACACGATTAGTTACTCGGGACACTCCAGACCCCTCACCGCCGTATAGGTCACGGAGCTCGCTGACGACGTCTTCATCGGTAGTGTCATCAATCATGTCGTTATCGACGGGAACTCGTTATGGCCCTTCTTCAACACTTTCGCTGAAGTTTGCGAAGGGGCTCACAAGATTTTGAATTCCCCCGATTTCTGTAGGAAGACGGTGTTCAACTCCCCATCCGTGCTTAAATACCCCGTCGGCGGAACAGGAAGTTACTTTCTCCGGCGATGTGCCGCTCTAGGAGACGTATTGTCACCGCTGAATTTTTTATTTTTTAATAGTTGTAAATAATGAGGTGAAAATTTTAGAAAATTAAATTAAATTTATTTTATATTTTTTCAAGTACCATGTCATATATTTAACGGTCAACTATATGAGTTGACTGCCACATAAGCAAAAGTTAACAAAATTAGACGGAGAGTGACTAAACTTGAACTATTTAATTAATTTTAGTAACAACGAATAGAATTAAATATTTTCAGTAACCAAACGTGAACCTTTTAAGTAATCACAGTGACCAACCTTGCAATTTAGCCATAACTCATATGAGAATATGAGATAACTTTAGTGAATAATAACACATATTAGAAGTTTCAAAATAACTCAAAAAGTCTAAGAAAAACTCAAAAAGTGGCTCCGCCTTTTCCGTGATTCATAACAGACATTCCTAATAATTTCACTTTAGAATTTTTTGGTTCTTTTGTATAGCCAAATAATTTCACTTTGAAGAGACCCAAAGAAATAAAACGGCGGACAAAACTGATATTTTTCCTCCCATTTATCGATGTCGGGTCATCTAAATCTCGGTTCAACCATGATTGACGATTTTTTCTATGGAAATTTTAGCAGAAGGGCATGTTTAATAATTTTGTCAAAGTATAGAGACATGTTTGATGTAAAAAAATATAGATGAGCATGTTTGATAAAACATCATAATAGATAATAGATGAACATCTTTAACAATAACAACAGTTATGTTGACTGATACTTGTCTCTTTTTTTTTCTTTTTTTCCTCCTTCTAGGATCGGTTATCGACTACTCCATGAGCAGTGGGGCACTGCTGAGCAGGCGGTGGTGATGGGCATGAGGCGGGTTGATAATGGCAATGGGAACCATGTTCGATGTTTTCTTTCTTGCGCAACCGCCTGGCATGGGCGTCCGACTGTGGGCACATCAGCAAGGGTACATTAGGCGAGCAGGGTGTGTGAGCATCTGTGATTTTCTGGTGCCCTCTGTTTGCATGTGCCCAGCAATGAAATTTCAAACGTATACATACTGTGTGTTTCTTGCCGGGCGCATTTGTATAAGGCTCGGGATGGGGGTCTGTGTGGCTGTGTAGAGAGGACGGTGTTTAGTAGTTTGGCCACTAAAAACAAAACGTGCTACACAAAATACTTGTGATTTGTTGTTCATCATCTTGCTCAATTACCTCTACAAGTCACTTGTCCCCATCAAGCTTACCACCAGCAGTAGCATACCCCATTTTAGCAATTTCCCTCAATTCGTTACCAGAAATCTGCGGTGCAGGAAGCACCAGCTTCGATCCCTTCATCAACATTTCGCCATCATTCGACCTGTTAGTTTGCAGGATAGCCGATAGAGCATTCCGCCTATCAGCAATTGCATCCTTAGCAACGTCCTTTTTTCTCAACTCTGCTTCCGCGTCAACCCGTCTTTCCCCTTCCAGTTCTGCAACCGTAATTGGGAACTTAAACATAGGTTGTCGTTCCACTGCTGCTCGATCTTCATCGCTAACATCGTAGAATCCAGGAGGCGGCCTCCTCTCAAATGCAATTTCAGCATTGTAGTCGATCACCCCCTTCGTTTTCATCCGCCTAGATTGACTAACAGAATCAGCAATGCCAGCAGATTTAAGTTCTCTTCTTTTCTGCAAACAAGCAAGAAAATTAGCCTCTTGAAGCTGTTTCTCTCTCGCTTTCCTTTTCGCCTTCTTACCTCTCGTGTTGGCTAGCCGAGCTCGTGCTTCTGATATCATCTCCATTTCGACATCGTCCACGTCAATAGGGTCTGGACGCGCTGGCTTGGATTCGGGGTTCGGGTCGATTTCTCCTGGACGCAGCTTGCGAGGGTCGTAGTTGTCATCGTCGTGGCGGTTACCATCTTTGCCAGAAGCTACTGCTGAATCGAGGAGCTTCTCGTAGCGTTCGACACACTGGGATGGAGTACGCCCAACGATTGGCGCGATACTTCTCCACTGTGCGGGCATTAGCTTGGCGAGATGAAGCAGCTTCTCGTCCTCTTCTCTTGTCCATTCAGTCTACAAACAATCATTCGAATCAAAAACAAACTACAATCAGCATCACCATACATACAATGATACAAACAAACAGGTTTACAGATTGAGATGTGAAATTGGCCGGAAAGAATCGCAGAAGTTAAGTACCTTTCTGATGGAAGGATCGAGCCACTCGTACCAGCGGGCCTTGTGCTGCTTGGCGGATTTACTGCCGATAAGGGAAGAGATGCGACCCCACTGGTTCTTGCCGTATTTCATGATGGCCGTCTTCAGGACCTCGTCCTCAGAGTTCTTCCACAGACCGCCCTTTGCCATGATTCTCATCTTCACTTTGGCTTGTCGTAAGGAATTCTAGGGTTCTTTCTTGCTCCGAATACAGATAAAGAGAAACCCCAAACTTCCAGGTATATAATACAAGGTACCTAGCAAACGCGTAGAGCTGTACTTTCCTGGCTCACAAGTAACTACAAGTCTTGCACTGCATTGTATTTATACTATTCGGCGAGGGATAGATAATGCTCCTTAGTCCTTACTCTGTATCCGTGTCGTATATGGAATATACCCTGTTAAGTTTGAGAGTTTGTTTACTCCTACAGGTCCTAGTACTCGGATAATGTAAAATTGGTCCATACGGTTCTTCCCAACCAAATTCAGTGTAGATCAATCTTGCACTCTGATAGTACTAGGGATGGCAATGGGTCGGGTCGGGGACGGATAGTACATATCCGCTACCCTACTCAGAGTAGTTCGGGTTTTACCCATACCCATACCCACATATGAAACGGGTAGAAATCTAAATCATGCCCATACCCGTTCGGGTTTCGGGTATCCACGGTTATCCATGGGTAATAGTTTCTCTTTATAACTCCAACCAATATGTTAATATTGACACGTATTCTCATGTTACGTAAGACGAAAAGTACGACAATAATTCGCTAGAATGAAGAAAATTAATTAAAACAACACAATTTCATAAAACTATTATATGTATATGCTAAATATAAAATATGTAAGAGAAAAATATTGATTATTTCTAGACAAAATACATATGCATGTGTATAATCGGGCGGGTTCGGGTTTGATAGTGAGAAAACCATTCCCACCCATTACCCGCAATATTCGGGTTCGGGTTTTACCCGTACCCACTAAAAGGCTTTTGGGTTCGGGTTTTACCCTACCCAATTAGGTCAGATTCGGGCGGATATCCACGGTTACGGATATTTTTGTCATCCCTAGATAGTAGGGTGGAAAGATTTCAAGCTATTAAAGTCTGTAAAGGTGGATATTCTATTACAAAATCATCAATCCTCCATTCGCTTCCTCAGTTGGTGGCTCAAAATATGGTGCATAACCTTCGGATCCATAACTATGAGTAATCAAATATAACCTTTTTTTAAGTGGTTGCAGATCTAAAAATGGAGAATTAAAAGAATTTATTTTCTCTAATTTTCTTAATTGTATCATATTTTTATTCATTCTAACTAGGATTTCAAAAAAAATTTGCACAGATGAAACGAGTTTGTTGTGCTCTACAAATTATATCAATTTTCAATATTTTTTTAGAATTTTTTTTCATACCTCTCGTTACCAACTCCATACCATATGGTATCTCCTTCGTATTTTAGTCGTTTTCGAAATTTTTTGCACAGAAGGAACGATTTAATCATGATCTATTGAATTTCAAATTTTTCTGGGTGAAAAAATTTCATACCTCTCATTACCAACTCCATACCATACTATACCACCCTAATATGGGGTGGTATATTTCATACTATATGGTATACTATTATTTTATACCACCATGGTATGGGGGTGGTAGCTGGACATTAACACAAACAAAATGCATCCAAGCCAATGCTATAAAAGAGCAAAACTTTTTCCCTTTTCCTATTACTCTCCTCCTAGTACCAATCCATAATGTTTGCCGTAAGTTAATGGCACGCGATCCAGAGCCGAATGAAACTTGTAGTTAAAAGCAGATGAATGAACGAAATCTGATAGCAAAAGCTACCAACCCCACTTAATCAGACATTCAACCCTAACAAATTTGCTGCTTGTAGTAGACAGCTCCTGCAGCTCTTTCTGCTGATGCATCATCGATAATACGAAGCCAAAATGTATAAAGAGATTGCTGATGAAGCAGTGATTATCAATTCCTGCAAGCCAATGTGTGTTAGCAAGTTGAGAAACCTAAAACAGGATGCATAAGCGTATGATGACCCCCTGTAATTATCACCTGATTGTTGTATAGGAATACAGGTATGAAACCACCCGCGTACTCGATCAAATTCAAGACCCCAGTGTAAGCCTACATAAAGAGACATCCACAGAGTACCCCCCCATTACCTAAAAGAACAGTGCTGCGCTGAAGTAGAAGATTTTTTGCTTTTCTTTTTTCTTTTTTATTTTCTCAGAAAGGCATGCTGAATATGCAAGAACTTTCATACCAGAGAAGCAAAAGCAATGCAGCCAAAAACTAGTGCAAGAGATCGGAGGAGCCGCTTTCCCATTCTTAGTGCTCTGCCATCGTCCACACCCTCTTCCTGCAGAAACGATGAATTCAATTGACTATGCATGTCGCAGACCATATAAGTTTCCACAGAAAAAAGTATGTCTTGAACTAAGCTCTGACTCACTGTGAGGGTTGGTGATACAGATGGTTCATAGGACTTTAACTTCTCAAAAACGCGGTATACAAATGCAAAAGTCAGAAACTGCAAAGGCTTGTATTCAGCACTGCGTTTGAACAGAATCCAAGCTGTCTGCAATAGAAAGACTGTCAGAACAGAATAACTGAATGAAAAGTAGAAAAAACCAGAGCAGCAGTTCTGTGGTGATCTGAACATTTAAGCTTAGGGCAATAATACCCTGCCATTTGCCACTAACAACAGGGTCAGTTATCTATCATACTGAATGAAAAATTATGCCTTCAAGAATGATTAGAGTTGTCGGATTCCATACATAGCACCACCAATGTTTCCTATCTACATGTTGCTTCAAATCATGCTGGAAGAGAAAGATTTGCAAAGTGCTGACTCCTATTGCCCATCATCATTTTTACGAGAACAATTGGTAAATGCCAGACTATCCAGATAGTTAAAAACAGAGATCCACAATTTCCTCTTCAATATTTCTGCAGGCATAAGTTTCACTTTGCTACTTACAAATACAGCAGATATCGCCAAGTTGATCTGCAAATCAGTCTGGCTTGACTTGGTAAACCTGAAAAAGAAAAAATATATATTATCCTATTTGACCAGAACTTGGTTCATGTCCCCTTTCACCCAATCCTGATAAACATTCTAGACTACTGTTATCTTAGCAAAGAATGTACAAGACCGACAAGAATTAATCCTGCAATCTTTCTTAGCCACTTTCTTAATGAAGGAATGGATTCTATGTGTTCTGGTCGTTGATTCTTACACATCATCTGTCTTACAAAGTGTGACGCCAATTTAACAGAGAACAATTCAAAACAAGTGCATAACAAAGATTCAGAAATCAAGAGGGTGTATCCCGAAATCCAATCACGAGCAACTATAGTACCTCGGTCCCCATGGCACGATTGGCTGCTTATCAGCATATTTAATGTCCTTTGAGACCTGCAAGATGACAGATAATGATTGTAAATGAAGAGCAGAAGAACAATTCTATGGAAGTCCCATCAATAACTAAATCACAATATACAAGCGTCGGCAAAAGGAGACATAGATGATGGCACAACTCTAATTTTACAATATGCAAGCATGGGCAAAATGAGACACAGATAACAGACCAAATACAATTTTCACCTTTTTCTGCATACAGTTACCGTGCTCTAACTGACAAAAGTTCATCAAATAAACCTCAGAACGGTGAAGGACGACAGGTATGACCAATAACCAAACACATAACGAACACCCACCCAACCCTAGCCTCAAGCAACTTCCAAGTCCATCATTCCTCATCCTTTAGACAGAATGTTCAAACGTACACCATAACACGAACCAACTAATTTACAAAATCCATAAATTTCCTCAACGACAGATAATAAACAAGAAAACAATTATCATGCCATAAATCACATCTACCCAGTACCCACTAACTCCAGAGGATTTTAAAGAGTGCAAATAACGTTACCTTGAAGGAACCATATGTCACACCCTCCTTCCGATTTTTCAGCTGTGCCATCATCAGCTTATCATATGCCTTGTCAAGCTGGAAATAAGACGACGATAACATTAGAAACGTGCATATGCAAGTGTTCTGAAATGGGTGATGTACACAGGAGTCCCATAAAAGCGATTTAAATTACCTGGACAACAGTGGATTCATCACCCACACTCTCTGCCTCCTTGCGCTTTTTCTTATGAGCTAACTTGACAGCATCAAACCCAGCAAGGGGGTTAACACCAAGGACCTATATGAAATATGCAAATATACAAACAACCGTAAGCACCACTCTGAGATGGACAGGCGTAATCCCTCTTCTAGAAAGATTCCACATTGACCTCATATGGATTCAAATCACTGTTTGGGCTAGAGCTCCCCGCAGCAGAAGCAGCCGAGCATACAAGTCTTCCAGTCCATGGAGCTCTAGAAGAGAACCTGCAAAATTTCAGGGTTAAACATCTCTATCTAAGAAAACGGTATCTTTTTTATGTCTTCATATCCACAAGTCAGATAATGAAACAAGTGAAGCTGATTGGGAAATTCACGATTCTACGTTCTGCGACTCCTAGCACACACAATAAGGAAGGAGGTGGCTAGGAGGATTTACATCAGGGGCAACTTCTTCCCAAACCGAATTCTCAGGAACCAAACACTTCTCCTAGTCACTTTCTCCGACTCGGTTAAAGTAAACTTATAAAGCACCTATTTTGAAATCAATTTAAGCTAACAACCTTTGTATAAATTTCGCAAATTTTTTTGAGCGAATGTGCATACCTAACGAAGGAGGGCTGCAATCTCGTAACTGTACTTCTCAGGTTCAAATTGCCTTGCGGAATTCGGGGTTTGGTGCAATGAAAGGCATTCGAGATTGCCAAAGCCATATTTGCGTTGCTTCCGATGCTACTGTGCTGAAGTTGGGGTTTTGCTTCCTGTTCCAGAGCTCAGTTTCCCTAAAGCCGGATGAGAGACCAGAATCCCTTCTTTTTCTGTAATCCATTTTCACTTTTTTTATTATAAAAAATATTCTAACCGGGTAGGTTTGGAATTGTTTTTTTTTTTTTCGTTTTTGTTTTTACTGACTCATCACTCATGGAGTATGTTCACTTTTGGATTAATAGGCATACAAGCCCTGTACTATCAAAATATAACAAATAAGCCCCTGTCCTATATTAAGATAACAAAGAAGCCCCTCCCGTCTAAACTTCCGTTAAATTACCTGCAACGCGGCAGCAGCACGCTGAGTCAGAATAAAATGATCTTGAAATGTCCCTTTTGCCCTTATAACCAAGTCCCTAAAATTTTTCTAGCTTCCCATCTAAACCTGTACGAATGTGATATATATGTATAATAAATAAATAATTAAAATGATTGCCACTCCATCTTTCCCTTTTGCCTTTATAATGAAGTCCATGCAATTTTTCTAGTTTCCCATCAATAACTGAACCTGTACGAATGTAACATATATACAAAATAAAATAATTGCCACTCCATCTACATCGAGGATCGAGCTATTCATGGACCAATGAAACACAAATAGAAACTAGAAGCAGCAACTATATATTGCATCAACAAAATAAAATCCACTGTAAAAAAACAAAACAAAATCCATCTCCTGCAACCAGTTCATGATGCTTATATAAACTAAACCAAATAAATTTCTACTTTCTTAGTTGAGAAAACTACTGTTTGGTGAGTTTATGGCCAATATGAAATAAACTCATCCATAAATAATGTAAGGTGAACTCTTGAAAGACTGCAACTAATCTAGAGCTGTGTTGTCGTGGTGGTGGAGCTTTCTTGTATTCCTCTAAGTTCCTGATTCAAGACTGCAGATTGTTGTTGCCTTTGTAGTACTTGAACCACTCTCTGAGATGACATTCCAAACTGCAAGTTAAAGAGTGATAAACACCACACTCATTACTCTGTATCCCTTCATTATTAGAAGTGTAAACACCGCAGCAACAGAGGGAAAGAGTTGGCAGCCATAGTACATTAGTAAGATAACTAGAGATCATACCTCATTGGCTTTCTTCACAGGACACGTCCGGATATTGTGTCCTTCTCGACGACATTCTGTACATGTAATCACTATCCTAGCTCGGCACAACTTGGAGGGATCATTCTTATCTGGTGCCAATAATTCTTATATATTGTATACACGTTTCTTTTTTGGCTTCTTTCGATTTTCCCTCTCTTCTCTAGTGATAATTCTTTTTTTCTTCGGTCTGCCCGGCATTCTGCGGAATGCAGGAGGGAGTAATGGCTCGTACTCACTAGGTTGCCATGATGATGGTCCTGCCATTGGGATCATCACATGCTTATATGTGCTCCAGAATTTGGAGATGGAGAACCATTCCTAAATATACTTTTGAGGATCTTTCTCTTCATACACCAAACATGTTATGGCATGTGGGCACGAGATTCCAGATAATTCCCATGCCCTACAAGAGCATGACAAGGCAGCAAGATCCATCGTGAATCGATCGTCACGATGGGTAACTTCATAACCACTTTTCCCATTTCCAACTATGTGGCAAAAACGAACCTCTTTTGCATTCTTCGTGTATTTCTTCAATGGTTTGGGACAAATATTGGATTCCCATTTTGCTCTAATTGCCCTCTTTTATAATATCCTTTCCATGTGCATAATTTTGAGATCTTCAAGCAGGCTTAGTATAGCCTTGTGTCGAGGCTCAATGATTAAGGCATTCCAAATCTCAGACATGTTGTTATCTACTGTATCACACTTTGTATGGGTTGAGAAATGAGCCCGACACCCGAATTTTGGGTCTACTGAAAGCATTGCGGATGCAGCGTCACTGTTTTGTGCCTTCAGTCTCTCAAAGGCACGAGAGAAGCCTCTCAAAGTGGTATCCTTGGCACATTGCCAAAATATTTTTTTGCCATTCTTGCTTCTTGAACCTTTTCCTCCAATTACAGTATATGTGCCTAGCACATAGCCTATGCTCCGCATATGGAAATAACTAAGCTATTGCTAGAACCAACTCCTACAAACAACTCCTAATAGTAAGAGGCAACGTCTCATGAAGTAAAAGTCAAAACAAAATATGAACAGTGGGGTTACCTTCATTTGATCTGATATGAAGCTCCAGCCAATACCACTTTCAATGTTTAAATCATCCTGCAATTGTCGAAGAAACCAATCCCAAGAATCTCTAGACTCCACCTCTACGACGCACCATGCAACCAGATACAATTGGTCATTTGCATCTCTACCTATGGCAGCAAGTATCTCACCTTTGCATAAGCCCTTCAGGAAGCACCCATCCAATACTATAATCTTCCTGCATCCTTCTAGAAAACCTTTTTTCAGTGCATCAATGCATATGTACATTCTCTTGAATAATGGTTGTTGTCCAGGATTATGTCGATCAACCATAATCTTAACTGTCGATCCTTCGTTCCTCCTTCTAATCTCTTCTGCATAGGTCCACAAGAGGGAATATTCTTGTGTATAGCATCCTTGAGTCTTGTACATCACAATGGACTTTGCACGAGAACACAACATAGTAGTTACATCCACCCCCATTTCTTCTTTAATGGTCTGTTTGATGTCTCTAAGTTTCCATCGAGGATCTGTTCTCATGCGCCTTTTATACTTCACAACAATGATTGTGGGAGAAATCCACTTGTTCTTGAAATGGATCGGGCAATTATGAACCTTAAAGGTTTTCAATTGCAATCTTTGTGCCTTCTTGGTAAATGATGCATAGAAGACAAACGAACATCTTGGCCACTTGTATGTCACCCTGAAGCGCTTCGGCTCATTCTTTTTAATCTTCACATCCTTGTTATCCTTCACCGCATGATCTCTAGCTCCTCGAGCTTCAAGTATATCATTAAAAGTCATGCCCAACTCAAAAATGGGGTTGGTTTGTTTGGATTGTATTTGGGGTAGTAACTTTTTCTCATAATCCCATGATCTGGACCTCATATTCTTTATCGGTGTCATCATAGCTCCCATAATCATCAGAACTAAATCCATTGTCTTTGTCAGCATTTGAGTGATCAGTATCTTCAAAAGTGATTGGTATACCTTTCTTCAAATTTAATCTGGATCTCTTGATATTGTTCAACACTTCAGCTCTGTCTTCTATCTCATCCTCACTTGCCCAAGACCCAATCACAAAATCACTATCCTCTAAATCTTATGTTTCATTCCCATTCACCTGTTGGATCTGGTGACTCATCATTCACAGCCATACTAATATCATCACCCAATCCACCTAATTGCTTTTCACATGGAATTTCAACCTACAAACACAAAATAATAGAGTTGGACCAAATAAAAAATTAAAATCCAACGTTTAAGTGAAAAGTACAAAGACCCTTCACCTGTGTCTGCAAATTTTGATGGGTGGACTCAGCAGCCATTTGTTTCTTATTTTCTAGTTCCAAACCAAATAGCAAAAATTAGTCAACCACAAACGACAAACCTAGGAACCACAAAAAGCTTGTATGCCTATCAACTCCTAACTATAGTTTTAAGCATAATATTGTATTTGTGGTACCTACAGAGCAACGACAATGAACCAACTTACCCAAAAAGATAAATATTAGGGTTTGTTATTGAGAATCACACACTCCTGAAAAAACCCCAATTCAACTAGCAATCAACCTTCTATATTAATCTAGGAACGCTGTTAAGGAGAGTTCCTAACCTGATTTTGGTTTGAATTTCAGTCCAATTCGAGAACTGCAAGGCGGCGGCGGCTTCTTCACACTACGGTAGTCTTCTTTTGTGAAGGTATGCGGCAACCCTTTTTACATTGAGATTCCTTTTATTTTTTGTTTCATGAAGAGCACGATGCAATGGAGGGGAAATTCTTTTGTTATTTATTTTAGTTACCATATATATCACAATCGTACAGGGGTTGGGATTGGGAAGCTAGGAAAATTGTAGGGACATGGTTATAAGGGCAAAAGGGACATTTCAATATCATTTTTTTGCTGACTCAGCGTGTTGCTGCCACGTGGCAGGTTATTTAACGGAAGTTTAGTATGGAGGGGCTTCTTTGTTATCTTAGTATATGACAAGGGCTTATTTCGTTAATGGGCTCATTTGTTATCTTTTGATAGTACAGGGGCTTGTATGCCTATTAATCCTTCACTTTTTAGGTTTCACATTTTAGAGTTAATTCTCAAAATATTATTTTTTATTTACGATTAATATGGCGGTTTTAAAACTATTGACACAAATATTGTGTTTTGGAGAGCAAAATTGGCGAGACTGCCCGAGTCTCAGGTGAAGTCGCTTTTTAAGCTTTTTAATACGAAATTGGCAGCCCCACCTAAGGGTGAGGCGGAGGCACTTTTTTTTAATTTCTTTTGCGGAAGAAATACGACGAACCCGCCCAAGTTTGAGGCGTGTTTGGTGGCGCAGTCTGCGAATATTCCCAAAATAATTAACCAGTGGAGTCGCTCTAGTCTGGGGCAAATTCGAGGCTCAAGATATGGTTATGCACCCATCAGTAACTAAATCTGGACCCTTCATTCAGAAAATCCAGATCTATCGATGGAGAATTAAATGTCATTTTTATTTTCTCTTTTTTTTTTAATCAGCTCATATCTTCTTCGTTTTAACTCGGATTTCAATTTTTTTTGCACAGATTGAACGCGTTCGTTATGCTCTAAAAAATGAGATCCATTTTCAATATTTTTTTAGAATTTTTTTTTGCCTCTAGGTACCAAATGCATACCATATGGTATCTTTTTCGTTTTTAATTCATTTTTGAAAATTTTTTTCTAGAAGGAACGAATTCATCATGATCTATTGGATCTACAAATTTCTGGATGAACAAAATACATGACCAAAAAATACCACACAATACCATCCTGGTACGGGGTGGTATATATCTTGTGGTACACAATGTTAAAAGTCGAAAATGACAGTTAATATACTTCTACCATAATGTATTCAACCATCCTACAGTCTTAATTTGTTCATACCACCATGGTACGCTTTTCAAACCATAGGTATGCTCTTATTTCAATACCAGTCAATACCATATGGTATAGACTGGTAAAAAATGACTCAATTTTTTTTGTGCAAAAAATATATCAAAATGGATAATTAATCTGATCTAACTATGCAAAAAAATTAGATTTCGACTTAAAACGAGTGAGAAATCGTCCGTTAAAGATTAAGAGGGGAAAATTAAAGACTTTTCAGAAGAGAGAAAGGTCGCTGATGTGACGGATAGTGATTGGGGGTATGCATGGTGATTGACCAGAAGGTTATTGACCGGATCCGCTCCCGAATTCGATGCCTTTCCCACCCACTCCAACACCATATAGTGTGTGCTCTTTCCTTTCAGTTGCTCACAAAAAAAAAGTTGCGAAGTTAAAACGAGAGAAGTTCTGTTGGTTGCAGCAAAGACGACTAATAGGTAAAAGACACATTTAATTTTTAAATTATACTCTTAAAATGCTATTATTCTTTTGTTTAGTTAGTAATTAGATAATTTATTTTTTATGTAGTGATTTTAGAAGATTTAATCTAGTCGTTCGGTGAAAATCGAAGAAAGTAGAGGACAATTTGGGCGTCCATTTCGTTGGTGGTAGAAGTTTTCAGTTGACAGTTCCATCCACGGTGACATATCACCAATTTTATGAGAATCTAATTCCAAGGATACGATGTAGAGACAAAGCAGTACAATATAGTGATATAATAATAGGTTTCACTTACTGTTAGGGGTGGCAGTCGGTCGATTTTGGTTTAACCGAAAACCCGGTTATCGGTTAAACCGAGCCACCCCCTATAGCTGCCGACCACCGACCGTGAGAGTGGTCACGGTTAGCAGGCCAACCGACCGGTCGGTTTCAGTTTTATGCTCGGTTAGCCGGCCAACCGGAAAATACCTTTTCTACAACAAAAATGAAAAATGAAAAATAAAAAATCTGCACCACTCACTCCTAAACCCTCTCACTTCTCGATTCTTCTTCTTCCTTTCAAGAGAAACCCGCCGCTAACCCTTGCTCTCCCTACTCTCTCTCGATTCTCTTCTTCCTTTCCAAAGAAAGGAAAATCGCCTCCTCCCTCATCTCTCTCATTCTGCCCCCTCCATCAATCGCCATTCCCTCTGCCTCTCCGTTGACGGCGACGGGAACAGCTGTGGAAATCGTCCTCTCTCTCTCTCTCTCTTCTCTCTCTCACTCTCCCTCGTCTTACTGAAAAGATGAGGCCGGTGCGGCGCCGGCGGCGACGGATGAGGCTGTTGCGGCGGCTTCCATTTCCTCTTCCTCGCGCTCGGCCTCGGCGGCCCAGAGCTTCCCTAGTCTCCGCGAATCCGTCACCGCGAAGCCCTCCTCCCGGGTTCTCCAGTTACGGCCGCTCCGGCGGCCCTCCTCCCAGAAGGGGCCAGGATGATTTCAACGATGGCGGGTCGTGGGGTGCTGGTGGCGCTGTGAGACGGCAGTATGGCGGTGATTACGATGACGAACGACGGCCCTCCTCACTGTAGATCTTCTTCTTCTTCCTGTATTTGGGAATTTTTTTTGATTTAAGATGTGGGAATGGGGATGAATCTGGACATATTTTGGGGAAGGTGAAGTGGGTCTCGGTTGGCCCGGTTAGTCGGATAACCACGGTTAATTACCATCGGTTACTCGGTCAACCGACCCCTTCCTTTTCCCATCTGACCACCGACCGTCAAGGTAACCGGTCGGTTTTCGGTTAGCTGGTAACCGACGGTTTTCGGTTAAAACCGGCGGTTACCCGCTAACCGCAAACCAAAATGCCAGCCCTACTTACTGTCTTCCAGAATGACAGAATGGTGTTATATTTCATTATGAGATTCCTATTGTGGATGATGATAGCTTGAATGTGCTTTTCGATTTTATGGCACAAAACCCTCATTGTTTGGGTGCTGAGATACTTGCTGAGATTACTGAGGATCAGGGTGGAGAGGAAGAAGATGAGATATGGAGTGTGCTATCTGATCATGACTATGATGATAGAGAGCAGGAAGATGAGGAGGAGGAAGAAGAAGACGGGGAAGAAGAGCAGCTTAATTATCCTCCATATTTTTACTTGCAGGGTAATTAAGAGAACAACGAATTATCATATGTTGATTCATATGACGTAATTCCAATGCATATTGTTGTTGGTTTTGAAGGAGAATTCTACAAGGGGCAGATATTTCACTTGAAACAAGTTGCACAGGTGGCAATTAAATACTACGCACCACAACACAACTTTCATTATGTCGTGGTTGAGTCGTCATCTTCAATCTGGAAGGTCAGATGCTTGAAGCACAAGGATGACAATTGTGCTTGGATGGTGCGGCTTGGATGCCGAGATGTTGGAACGTCAGATGCTTGAAGCACAAGCACAAGGATGACAATTGTGCTTGGATGGTGCGGCTTGAATGGACAGTGAGAAAGGCTGAGTTGGTGCATTCTTGTAGCAGTACGACTCAACCGACGGATCATTGCCATCTTGACGTCGATGATATATCGGAGTCCTTGAAGCATTTGGTACGTGCCCAACCAAATCTGAGTGTTCTAACTGTGCAGGCCAAGTTGAAAGATAAGTTTAATATGCAAGTTACTTATAAGAAGGCTTGGTATGGGAAACAAAGAGCATTTGGAGAAGTTGCAAGGAAATTGGGAAGAATCCTAAGATTATTTGCAAACATTCTTGCGGGTGGTAAAGAGAAAAATGCCAACATCAGTGATTGATTGGATAAGAGTTCCTTCATCGCAACCAGGTCATTTGATCTTTCAACGAGTATTCTAGGCTTGTGGACCTTGTATAGATGGATTCAAGAATTTTCAAGGAGTCATGGTTGTTGATAGAACATTTCTGACTAGAAAGTATAAAGGAGTGCTACTTATGGCGAGCTCATTTGATGGCCGGAAGAAGATTTTTCCGATTGCATTTGCCATAGTGGAGAGCGAGAATACTAATAGTTGGCCATGGTTCATAAGACACGTTCAAGGTTTGACCGATCAAAATGATGTGTGCATCATCTCAGATAGACATGCATGATTCTATGAAGCCATGAGTGACATCGGAAGAGGTTGGGAGTGGAGATGGTGCATGCGGCACTATGCAAGCAACTTGCAAAGGCAGACTAAACGCAGGATTATGTATAATCAAATTTTTCGAGTCAGTAAGCCTTCATTGTCATGGTTATTTATTGTTATGTATTATTTATTTTCATTTAATTTTATAATAGATGTATCTACCTCGTGTGGTTATTTATTGTGTTAGTTGGAGAAAATGCTTGGAGAAGTTCGATCGTCAAGTTGAGCAATTTAAGAAGATGGCCGCTGATAGAAATATTTCTTTCGATAATTGGTTGGACCAAAATCAACTTTGTTGGAGCTTAGCACATGATAACTATAATGGTGGGCTTCGATGGTCTATCCTGACATCCAAAATGGCAGAGAGAATCAATGGGTGTCGATGCTCAATCCTAACATCCAACATGGCAGAGAGCATCAATGGGCATCAATGGTCTATCCTTCCCACACGATGGCCCACGATGGGGTTGACGAAGGAAAAGCCTAACCTCGGCCTCAAGGTGTGGCGGATGAGGCTCATCCCACAGCATGCCAAACTGGCGGAGCACGCGGGCTGGATGGTGCCACATCACCGCTGAAAAGTAGATAAGTGGAACTACTGCTCGAAACATCTCAGACTGGATCACACTACCTCTGAGGTTCTTAGCTCTCTCAACGTAAGGACACCACTACACACAAAAAGTGGTCATATGATTACTCCTAAATTTAAAACAAACTAATGAAAACTATTCTATAAAACGAAATGTTATATACTAACCACTAGGGTCGTCATCTCGTCAAACCACAACTTGTACTGGTCAAACTGGTCACCGAGCTGATGGGTGTTGGTCGGAAGCCATCGAACACCACGTGGGAATACGTCCTCGGTAATCTGCGCCCTCGTCTCTATATGTCGTGGTGTCATATATGAAAATCGCTCCCACGCCCAGAGTTGCAGTAAGGGGACCCATCCACCAAGGTCACCTCCTCTGGAAGAGGACTGCGTCATGTGCTAAACCGACCTACCCATCTCATTGTACAGGTAGGCAGCTACGGTAGGCTAAAATAGGAGCTCCCAGGCAAATCATCCAACTCTCTGCCAATCCTCCACCAAGAGTAGGTATTGTAGATGACTCGTAGCTTCACTCCGATCAGGGAACAGTACACCTCCCATCAGAGATAGAGCGTAAGCTCGTGCGAACTGCTCTGTAGTCTCTAGTGATGCATTTGCCGACAGATTATTGAATTCGTCACTGAGCCAATCAATCCTAACGACACCGCCAGAAAGATCATTAGGAGCCCGTCCTAACAGTCTCACACAGGTCTTCGACCACTCCTCATCTTGTATGTCTACTAGGACGGCATCACCGTCGATCGCTAGACTGGTGAGTGTCACAACGTCCTTTAAAGTGATCGTAACCTCACCAAACGACAAGAGGAAGGTCGATGTCTCGGGTCGCCAACACTCTATGAGCGCAGTAATCAAACTTGCATCAGCAGCCATAGTGACCAATGCCAGAACAGTAGACAAGCCCGCCTCGATGAGGTACGTCAGATAATGTGCATGGTACGTCACTAAATTGGTCGTACCTCGAATATGATAAGGCCGATCACCAGTCTATAGTGCAAAAAATTATATTAATTTAATTTCATGCATAATTCTAATTTCAGTTCACTTAGTAAAATTTATATAATCTAAACATCTATCTAATCTAAACTTAATGCTAATTTCGAAAAATTTCATACGTAATTCTATTCTAATTTCAGTTCAGTTTATCTTGTAATAATATATAATAGTCTAATCTAACTAGCTAATGAACTTTAAAGAAGTAGTTGTTATGAAATACTTACCTCGTTTGCCCAAACTGAGTCGACACGATTTTGACCATGTCCCCAAAGAAGTACTGAATAAACCGGAGCTGGATCAATTGTCGTAGGTGGTGGTCTCATGAAATAACTGTCCATAAGCCTAGGAACTGAAAAAAAAAACAATAAAAAAGAACTCGACGCCGGCGAGAATCTGGCAGACGATGACGAAATCCTCACCTTGGTACCAGCCGCCGCCACAAACTCGCTGCCCTCTCCCCCTTCCTCTGCCGGCGACCGCTTCCTCGTCGGTGTCGGACATTTTCTGCCGAACCAAAACCAGATCTGCGCGCGCGAGGGGAGAAGGAAAATAGAGGGCGGATCCGCCTAGGACTGAGGCGAGTGTGTCTCTGTCTCCGTGGGGTCCACCTAAGGCATAGGCGACGATGCTGTTGTTGGAGGCGTGGAAGCTTGGAGTCGGGCGGGTCCGCTGCTCTTGTGGTGGTGGTTGGTTTGGGGAGGAAGAAGAAGATAAGGTAAGAGAGGGGGCGTGGACGGGTATATAAAAAGGAGGGGGAGGGTGCGTCCGCCTTAGACACAGGCGGGTCCGCCCATTTAGTTTTAAAAAACCTAAAAAGCGGCTCCGCCTGAGTCTGAGGTTGTCTCGCCATTTCTGCTCCCCAAAACACAATATATGTCAATAATTTTAAAAAGCCATATTGATGGTAAATAAAAAAATATTTTGGGAATTAACCCTACATTTTACCCCGATTGTTCTTTTTCTTCTCCTATGTGAATTATAAAATATTATAAAAACAAAAAAATCATCAGTGTGTTCATGTGTTGACTTATTTACATAAACTAGTCCGCAATCACGCTTTGCCGCGAGCTGGCCGACTATTTTATTGTTGTGGTTTCCCATTAAAATTTGATTTTGTTTACAATGTTATATTTATTATGGTAATTGTTTTTTAGAATAGTAATTGTATGTTAATTATTTTTATTTGATATCTATATACATAAGCAGAAATTCATGCATATTTGTATAACACGCTTATAGGTGCGGGCGGGGATCGGGGAGCCATTATCCGGCCGCCTACCCACCCGTTGCCATCCCTAACTGTATCTACTTCAATCTGACTACTTGTTTTTCGTACTCAAGTGGAATTGAGGTGCCCCTAATTTCCAATTCTAACTAACAGATGGTGAGGTGCAATAAGTAAATGAGGACATATATTAAAAGCAATTGAAGGCCAAAGGTGTAGTTTATGATAGTTGCACCTAGAGACCAACATATGAACAAACAAACAATATATTAGTTCAACGATGTTTTGCTTAGATTTACTCTTTCTAAATCCTCTTATTACATACTTCTACTCACTAGGGCTGGAAGTTTGGTACTGGTATTTGGGATATACCGAATATCGTACCGAATTTGTCTATATTTGATATTACCAAATACACATATTTTTTTTGGGATTGGGATTGGGATTGAATTTCAATTGTTATTCGGTATTAGGGATTATGGGATTGGAATCGGTATATACCGAAATACCGATCAATACCGAAATATAAGCTAGTGTGTATTTTATCCTCTCAACTAGACTCTCTCATTCACTACTACACGACCCTAAACTACCAAGAGTGTCATTTAATTATACATAGATCATTCTATCACTATTAATAGTCGTCTCTCAACCTCCAATTCGTCAAATTAACGATTACCAATGACAAGAACTTGAGATGTCCCCTCTCCTCCTTTCTCCTTAATAATATCCTAATTCAAGACACTTTGCTTAGTCTTTTCCTCCTAAATTAAACAATAAAATCAAATTTAAATGTTTAATTATTAATTGCAAAGGTAATTAATTTTGTATTTGATAAATACCGATTGTGATACGTAAGTACCGATTGGGATACCGAAATATTTAGGGATTGGGATTGAGATACCAAAATTATTTAGAGATCGAGATTGGGATTGACTTTAGGGTATAATTCAATATTCGAGATTTCAATATTTGGTATTGGGATACCGATACCATATCGATTTCCACCCCTACTATTTTTTTTTTTAATAATCACCCCTACTACTCACGGTAGTCAACTTACCATCGATTTTTGCCAACATGACAAAAATGTGGCAGACATGTGTAAATGTCACCTCATTTTTAACTCAAAATTAAATAATTAATTTGTAAATAAATAGTAATATTAATAAAACAACAATACAATTAATCTTTAAAAAAATTCAAAATTCCGCTCTTCCTACTAAATTATTCCTTCACGATCGATGCCTCTGTCTCTCACCCTTCTCTTCGATGGCGGCGAACGCCGGAGAAGAAAAAGCTTCCACTCAAGTCACCCCTCTCCACCACCTCGTGCGGACAAATCCAGTGGGAGAAAGCAAGGATTTCGTTCTTCCTTAACCACCAGCCCAGAGAATTCGAATCCCCACGTGTGGACAATTACAGTCGCCTCACCCCTCTCCAACGGAGAAAATTCTCGATCCCCAACCCAGAAAACCCAATTCCGACGAGCACAGTTCAGTTTGCCGGGAGATGAAATGGAAGAGAAACTGCCATCAACCGCGACCTCCACTTTCGGCAACAACACTAGATCCGCCGTCGATGATAATCTGACTCCGGCAGAACCACTAGGATTTGTTCCTCACCCCTCGCTTCAAGCCGACAACCTGCGCTTTGTGGGTTTCATCGATGGGCAGGGAAGGGGCATTTTCATCGTCCCCAGGCCACAGATCCACTAGCATCAGATCCAGCGGTGGCCGCACCGTTGCCTATGACCTCGCCTCGTCCATTTCTAAACCCTAATCGGAAAAATGAAACACGCGGAAAGGATTTGAATTTTCAAAAAAGGTGGTAGGTCTAGGAGAGGAACGACTTCATGAGAGATCTCTGGAACAGGACGGATAGAGAGAGATAGAGAGAGAAGAAGAAGGTGCGCGCTGCAAGTACTTCCCGGAGAGGACTTCCGGCGGGGGTTCCATTAGGCGAGAAATTCTTCGGTGCACCCGGCGTACAGCCCACGTGGTGCACCGGACCAATCAATTTTTGACACGTATTAAATAGCCTAATTTAATCTCTGACTCTCTCCAATTAACCCCTTCCTTCTTTCTTTCTCTTCCTTCTTTTCTTTCCCGTAAAAAATAACAAGTGCACACACCAGAACTAGAAATCACCATCGGAGAGTTTTGAAAGGATAGCGACGACGAAGCACAACCAAGAAGAGAATCAAGGGATTCATTGCGTTGGTGAATTGACGACTCTTGATGCGTCGCTAGAAAATAGGCAGATGGTCAGATGGAGAAGGATTTTCAAACCGAATTAATCCTGGGGATTCCATATATAATAACTGTGGTCAGATGAACCCTAAACTCGTCGAGGAATTAATTACAATGGAATCAAGGAAAATTACTTTTGGTGGGCTTGGCCGCAGGCCCGTTCCGTAATATTCGGATGCCCTGTTCGACAATTTAAAATGTGGCCCCAAAATTTTATCTCATAAATCTATTAAAAGTAATAATTATTAAATAATAACTACTTAAGTTTAGAAAATTATTACAAAAGTAATAATATTATCTATTAATGTTCAAAAATTAACAATCGTCTAGCATTATTTGAAATAAAATCCTCTATTAGCCCTTCCATCTTCTCTATAAATTTTGAAAAACAATATCAATCCATCTATTTCGAAAATATCATCAATAAGTATATCTTTGGATTGTAAATATTTACTAATCAATTTGTTGAGTGCAATATTTCATACCTAATAACTAATGAAACAATAAACTCAAAATCACCAAGTTCATTTTGTGCAAAATATTTAGCTTCACTTCTATTTTTCGAATTGCCATCAAGATCGACTACTACTATTCAGGCTCCTCAATTCTCTGTTTCCTTTTATGCTTAGAACTACCTTTTTCAAATTTTTGGGTTGACATAATTAAAAATTATAGCTAAAAATTAATGATTCCAAATTTCCAATCAATATTAAGTTCCCTGTTAAAGAAAAAGAAAAAAGGTTAGAATTTAAAGAAAAGTTCATTAGGATTGGGTGTGAATAATTAATATTTAAGCGTTAGATGAATTTGGAAAGTTGAGAAATTTGGGGAAAGAGATGAAGAAAGACGTTAAATAATATAACTATTAGATTTAAAGATCAAATAATTCCCAGCCCAGTGGTTAAGTTCGCTTTTCAATGACAACGAGGTCCATAGTTCGATTGTGGGTGCTGCTATCTTTTGGCGTTTGTTTTTCTCTGATCTGCCAGCTGCCCCTTTTATGGACTTTGAGGCCCAGTTTGGAGCAAAGCCCAAGGGATGCAGCTCCACCATGCCAGCCAACAGGCTTCGGATTATGAGGTCAAATTTTGGCTTTGACTTCGCTGGGCTTTGGATTATGAGGCCCCCAAAAGATGAGGCCCTGTGCTGTGGGTCAGACCAGCACAGGGTCTGGGCCGGGCCTGGGCTTGGGGATGTTGCAGCGAAGATGAGCCTTGATGGATGGATTTTGAATTGGCGCCGAAAGACAACGTCGCCGGAGGAGGAGACTGATATACTTTGGCGGGCGGCGGTTCGTGCGCAAATCCTGCTTTTCTACTTCCTCTTTTTTCTGTTTTAAAATTTTGAGTGTAAAATGAAGTGCAACGTGGCACTTATGTATTGGGGCGGAGTACAGCGCACGTTGTACGCCGGGAGCACCCAAGAATTTCTCTCCATTAGGCAACGAGATCGACTCGGAGAAGAGCGCGGACATGGGCGACGTGCTTTGTTTTTTTATTTTCTATTTTGTAAGAAAAATTATTATTAAAAACAATTAAACATAAATAAAAATTATTATTAAAAATTCCTCTCTAATGCCATGTAGAAGCTGACTGTATTTTTTGTTAAATACTGACGGTCAAAGTTGGTCAATACTAACGGAGAAATAGATAAGTTAATAAATGAAATATTGAATAGGTTGGGACACAACTGACACTTTTTTGGTATTATCCCTAAAAGTAAGGGGTCGTTTGGTTTTGGTGCTACTTAAATCAATGTATTATGATCAATGCATGCATTGTAATATACATGCAATTAAGGAAAATGATGTAATATACTTTGCATTGTTTGGTTTTGGTGATAGTTCTTTTGGTATTCAACAAGTTATATTACTTTTTGTGAGAAAGATCTCTTTTGCCCTTACTTTTATTAGAACATAGAGATATAACTAGGGGTATAATTGGAACCAAAAAACCTAACAATCTACTCAAAACTATCTCATGAATCTCAAGTTTTAGTAGAGATATTACGATCACTCATTTTGAGTGATAGTTTCCATCACATCAAGCAAACAATGCATGTATTGTTTGTGCATAAAATTCAAAAAAAATAAAAATAATAATAATGCATTGTAACTATCCCAACCAAACAATCATCAAAAGCAAACGACCCCTAACATATATGTTTGTCGTCTCGTCAAACATATATAAATTGAAATGATAAGCAAACAAGAACAATATATCATAAACGTAAACCTCGGAATGGAGATGTTATATTCTTGATAACATGGTACATAACACATCTAAGACCGACTCCCTAAATAACAGGGGTATTTAGCTCAACATAGAGAAAGAAAACATCACCATGATTGAAAACTTCAAAGACTTCTTTTTTCTACAAAACTAATGAAAACATAAAAGAATAAGCGACAATAATCTCGGTTACCCCATATGTGTAGATACTCTAATAATCCAATCAATGGCTTGATCAACTGATCTCGTACCTCAATTATAGATGACGACACTTGAAAACTGTTGTTTTCCTACCTCATTCTAGCCTAAATCCATATATATTTGTTGCAATCATACATGCTTTATGATGGAAATGTTAAGTATTTGTCCCAAGTGTGAAGAATTAATGGTGGCCCAACCAAGCATTTTTTCCAAATAAACACAAATTTTTAGAAGCCTAAAAGGAGACAAGGAAAAGTATGTGGGTCAAGTTTCAGCCTAAATGGAGCAAAGGAGAAAACGATGGTCCACCCATCGTCAAGGTCGTCACTTTTACATAACCTTCCAAATGTGACTTTCATGCAAAGAAAGTGTCCTAAATCGAGTTGGAATAGTAAGCCAAGAAACCTCCAATGACACATTCTCTCTCTAAAACTCATAAGGACTTAATTTCTCTCTAAAAATGTCTTCTCCCAATGTATAGAAACATGACTATATTTTGTGCTCGTTTTTTTTTCGAACGACATTGTCTAACTTGGTGAAGGAAAAATGAATCAAGTCTGTAACAACATGGTCGTGTTTTCTATCACTTCTAACCATGCTCTCAGCTTTTCTTTTGATAAGCTTCATTCCTTCCTCTTATGCTCCAAAGACAAGCTTCAATGCTCCCTTATATGACTAGGACCTAAAAATAGCACTAACAAATAGAACCTAGCATAAAAGGTGACATATAGGTAGGATTCATCATGATAAATGCAAAACAAAACACTTAAATCAATGGACTCTCTATCCTTGTTTTTATTCAGTTTTGTCATGGATATACTGCATTCATTCTTCTTAAGGCTCAGGTATCTGGTCTTATCAAAGGATTCTACATGGATGATACAAGCAGAATTGGGGTTAACCACTTACTGTACGCCGACGATGACATTATTTGTTGTGGAGCTTCAGAAGAGAATTTTTTTTAATTTAACGGCTACCTTAATTTGCTTTCAAAATATCACTGGACTCGAAGTGAATCTTCAAAAAAGCTTTCTCTTTCCTGTGGGTGATGTGGGGAACATGGATCGTCTGCCTGAGATCCTTGGTTTGCAGATGGAAGTGTCTGTCTACAATTTACCTCGGTATGCTCTTGGTGCCTCACCCTCTTCTACTTCAATTTCGAATCCTATCGTTGATAAATTGGAGAGTAAGTTGGAAGGATGGCGGGGGGAATTCTTGTCCTTTGTTGGTAGAATCACGCTCTGCAATGCGGTCTTGGCTGCACAACCGCTTTAAATGTTCAGTCTTTTTAAGGATCCATGTTCAGTGATCACGATCCTTAAAAAGTTACAGAGATATTTTATCTGATCTGGAGCGCACGGTGAAAAGAAGATCCATTCAGTTTCTTGGGATAGATGTAAGGTTCTGAAACATCTTGGGGGCCTGGGTATATATGACTTGTCTTTCTGCAATCAGTCTCTCCTGTGCAAATGGTGGTGACGGTTTGCTTAGGAGAGCAATTCTTGGTGGAGGGAGTTAATTAACTTGAAATTCCCTAACGCCGAGTCAGAGTGGTTGCCGGGACATCTCTACGGCCCTGATGGTCTTAGTCCTTGTATTCAAATTATGAAATTAAAAAGTCTATTTTGGAGGTTTGCGTACATCTCTTTGAGCTCGGGAATTGGTATTTCTTTCTGGTATGATGTATGGCTGAAAGGAAGTTTGTTGGTTAAGGTTTTCCCCAAGGTTGTCGATGCTTCTGAATTGCCAAATTACTGAATCGTCGATGTTTTCAATATGAGTAATGGGAGATTATCTTGGGATTTAAATCTCAAACATTCACTGAGAGGTGGGGCTGAAAGGGAGCGAGTGAACCTTCTTAACCTGCTTAATAGCTTGCCTCCTTACTTTTTCTTGTAGGTTCTACTAGACTGACGCAGATACCTTCTAAGAGACAAGGTTTCTCTATTTGATCTCTATACTCGGAGCATATTGCTGATCATGTTCCAGGGGCATCCAACTTTCCCTTCAAAGTTGTGTGGCAATCTATTGTCCCTCACAAGGTGTATGTGTTCCTATGGATCGTTTATCTCAAGAAAGCTTTAACTCATGAAAGGAACTCCAGGATTTTCAAAGACCACAAGGA